AAAACCAAAATGGGATTAACACTTCCTGTTGGGACTGTCGTCCAATTGACACAGTTCTGACTGGATTCATACAGATGCATAAAAAAATAGCTCTGATTATTTGGCGCATGGATTAGACAGCTGTGCGAAATAAAATAAACAAATGTAAATCAATATTACGCTGCCTTGTGGTAAGAGTAAAACACTCAACCCACAGAGCAATCAGAGCTTAGATCTTTGCTTTTCCTAAACCGTTATCAGCGTGGGTGGTGCAGAGTGATCACAGCGTCTGTGGATGAGCTGATGGTTGCTGAGGTACAACACCTGCCGGCTGAAACTGGGTTAAACCCAATGACTACACTGTTTTAATTTTATATTACACTGGAATAGATTTTAGTGGAGGTGCATCAGCTTAATATAGACAAAGATAATACAAATAACATAAAAGAATGTGAAAACTTGGGTGTAAAGAATCATTAAGAAATCTGTTGATAATACTGATTAAAAAAGGTAAACTGTAACAAGCCTTAATACACGTGTTGAAAATGCCCAAGTCCATACTTATGAGAGCCCCATGAGAGCACCTGTGTATGTACACGTGCTTGTATATGTAAGGTTTCTCTATAGGAGCACCCAATAGAGAGTGTGAGGGGCCACAGATCTGCCCTCAAAGATGTGTAGGAGATGGAGGGAGCTCCAAGTCCCAGAGATCCAGGAGCTGCCCCAGAGCACAGGGACCCCAGGGAGACTGTAACCATAAAAGCCCCCGCCCCCTCTCGAGAGGCGCAGAGGATTGCCCCGGGGACTCACAACCAGCAGCCGGCAGAGTCCCGGGAGATATCAGCGGCAAGCCCACAGGCCCGCCCACAGCCTCCCACCCCCAAGCTGCCAAGCCCGCAACACAGCGACCCGGGACCCTGGGGCAACCAGCACCGCCGAGGACCCAACATAGCCCAGGCACTCAGATCCCACCAGGCAGCCACCAGGATCAATCAGGCAGATGCCAAAAATCTTAAACCCCTTGATCAGGGAGCCGCGAACACACAGGCAGACCAAGGCACCATGCTCCACACCAAATGTGGCAGGGGGAGGGGAGGCGAAGATGTGTAGCAGCACAAGAAGTCCCAGGAAAGAAAAAAGTAGGCCTATTTCACAGCATCTTTGGTAGCAAATTACGCACTGATGTATAAATGTTGTCAAAAAATGCATCATCTAAATGGAATACAGCCCTTGTTTGAAAACTTGTGCCTTCATATTAGCCTTATTTATTGTAGTCTTGTTAGATCTTTTTGCAGCTTTTGACACTGTTGATCACAGCACCTCAATTAACAGACTTGGTGACTCGGTGGAGGTCTCTGGAACTGTTCTAGGCTGGTTTAGATCGTACCTTTCTAACAGAAGTTACAGTGTCTGTATAAACCAAATCTGTTCTGTGAGGTACCCCAATGTTCAGTTTTGGGTCCACTGTTGCTTCTACTGTAGTTACTCCCTCTTGGACAGATAATTGCTTTTTTTCATAATGTCTCTTGTCGCCTATATGACATTCAGCTGTACTGCTCCTTTAAGGATTCTGAGGTCTATAAACTGTCTGAATTACTAGAGTGTCTATCAGCTATCACCAGCTGGCTAGAAGAAAACTTCCTTCAGTTAAACTCTGAAAAGACTGAATGTCTGATCATTGCCCCTGAGAGCATGGTTCCCCTGATTAGTCTAAAATGTGGTCATTTATCTTCTGCCGTCAAGACAAACTTGAGGAATTTGGGTGTTATTTTTGACCAATCAATGTCTCTTGAAGGCCACTCAAATCCATTGGTCCGAAACTGTTTTTATCACTTAAGAAAGATCTCCAAACTGTGAAGGAACATGAACTTGAAATTGTCATGCCTTTAGCTCCTCCTGTGTAGATTACTGTAACACACTTTTCACGTTTTAACAAAAAAGCCCTTGTTTGCCTTCAGTTGTTCCAGAACTCTGCAGCGAGGCTCCTAACTGGAGCAAACAGAAGAGCTCACATCACTCCTATTCTAATGTCTCTGCACTGGTTACCCATTAATTTTAGAGTTAATTTTAGATTCATGACTATAACTTAAGCTCCCCTCTATATTACTGAACTGTCAAAGCTTTATGCTCCAACCCAGGTCCACACACCAGAACCTTTTAGAAGTTCCAAAGACCAGACATAAAAGTCGAGGTGATCGCTCCTTCCAGACTGTTGCACCCCTACTTTGGAATGATCTTCCTTTATTCTTACGTAGTATTGACAGTCTGCACACTTAAAAAACTGCTAAATACTCTTATTTAAAGCTGCTTTAACCTAAATCTTTTATTTTCTTATTTTTAACTCAACATTTGAATCTTTCATCTGTTTGTGAAATTTTATAATTTTATGACTTTATTTTTTTCTGATGTTAAACTATTTCTGTTTTGAGATCATTATGATTTTAAGACTGTTTTGTTTTCTTTTGATCCATGTGACGCCTGTTGTGATTCTATGTCTGTGATAAGTCCTATATAAATAAAATTTACTTATTTACCTTATATTTGACCTGTACCACTAATCGCAAATGGAAAAACACCCACCCCCTTGGGTAAATACAAGACAAAGACAGAAAGACAGTTACTCTGATGAAGAAACAATAGGTGTTGAAACGTTTTCCGGCCTGCTTTTTTCTTCAATATATTCCATTTAATTATTGCTTAATCAAATTGCTCTTTTAAACTCCTAACAGAACAGAAGTTGTCAAATGTTGTACTGATCATTGAGTTTTTAAAAATATGCCACAAAGATTGCCTTTTTTATAGTCCTGATACATTTGAAAATGACCTGTGATGTCATAAATCCTTGTTGCTTTTGACACGCATGAAGTGATTTTTAGTTTCTTACTGCCCCCTAGTGGCTAGAAGGAATGCTTGTTGAGATGAAGGGAGAAAAAGTTGAAGAATGGGAAGGAGACTGAGGCTGTTTTAGTTTAAGTCAGCAGGTTAAAAATAATCACAGATTAGTGGAGGGTTAAGACTCATTACATCATTGGTTTTAATGAATAGTTTATGAAGGTGACATTTATTTATGACCAGTTCAGTTAGCTCAATTTTATTTAATTTTTTATTTTTTGTGTTTTTCTTTCCACTACCTCCTTATCCCACCCCCACCCTCTCAGCTGTCCTCCACGTAGCCTTTCCATTTGTTTATTACTTGGCTCCTTAATGTAATAGCAAAGCTTCTTCTCCTTCAGTCTGACTGTAAGCAGAATAATCACACACCTTCTCTGTGCAGCACTGGTAATGGACTCAAAGCAGATTTGTTCAATTAATCACACATATGGTTTTCAGGAAACGATTTAAAAATATGTGCTCCGTGTGTGTGTATGTGTGTGTGCACGCATGCATGTGCACGTGCATGCTTGCGACAGAGACAAATCCGGTGTTGCCGTCTGTGGGGAACGGAGCCCAACTCTGTGATACGGAACAGTTTTCTTGGCCGGTGAAGTCCAGCAGGGCTCCCAGCAACAAATAACAAAGAGCCACAAAAGGCAGGAAAATCGATTTCTGCGTCATCCACAAACAAAGTGTCTCCTGGCAACAGAATGTTTCTTTTGTGATTAAGGCGGCTTTGTTTAGGCGCGTCTTTAGAGACTGCTCATCATTAGACTGAGCCACATTATTGTGTTGCTGCTTGGATGAAGTTGGTGTTGATGAATGAGCAAACAGTTTTGTTAAAAGCTGCTTTTGCTCCTGACCCAACTTCTGGTTGGCTTACGTAGCGCTATAACATATCTGCTATTTGTTGTTGACAAAGTTCTGATGTTAATAATTATCACACAGAATAGAGATGGCAGGAGGGCAGCAATGCTAGTTTAAAGGCATACTACGCAACTTTTTCATATTTTCAAATATTTTTCTTGAGCCTCTATGTGCTAAAATGACCCTTTACAGGGTTAATGAAATGTCTTTCAGCTCTCCACTTCTTGTGAGCAGGAGACCGTTTGCAACTTCAGCCTGATTTACAGCTCCATAGGAGATATGAGCGTCTCCGCATCAGTGCCTGCTAGAGGAGACAGCAGGAGGGGACGGGAGAGCAGGGGAGAGCGGGGGACAACGTGATGGATCAAAGTGATTCAGAAACCTGTAGTAAAGAGTCTCAATCAGAGCTCAGCCCCTCTCACCAGCCCACTTCCTTGAAGTCTCACAGTCATGCTTCACAGGAATCCATGTTTTACACCTCAAAACAGACAAGCTATATCTGGTTAGCATTTATTGTAACTTGTTTATCATGGTGAAACCTCAGAAGAATAAAAATTGTGTCTTGTGTCTTGAATTGTGTGCAGGCATGTGTGTGAGGAGGGTGGGGTGGAGGGGGTATTTTTGCTGCTCCTGCAGTGGTCTTCCTGGGGTTTCCACACTCCAGGAGGGCCTCTGGATGTCTTCCAGGGGACTTGGGGAGCACACACACTTCACACTCACTATTGCACACAGAGAAACCTTGTATACAAGCAAATGTGCACGCACACATATGGCCACAAGGTATTCTCATAAGTATGGACTCATGTGGTTTTGACATATAACCTTGGGCTGTGGCTGCCACTAAATGCACCATGAATGAAATATTACTGTGTGTTTTTCAGTAAACATTACTGTGATATATCTCCATGTTGTTTGGTACTGATATCTTGATCCTGTTGTATTTTGGTGTGTATCCATTTTTTATTTACGTATATAATAGTTTAAAAATTTGGAGTCGGCCTAATTTAAGATGACCACCGTCACTGATAGACTAAAGTAAATAAAATGGGCTTTAACTCTGTCAGTTTAACATTTGTCGAGCTAAAATATTCCATGGTAAAAGTTGTGTCCTTCACAGTTTACTAAATGCTAACAGATCCTGTTATTTTGATGATTTAGCCAAAAGTCCAGTCTCCCAAACACTGGCCCTGACTTATACCTTGAGTCATTCTTTACTACCGACTTGTCTGTGCTCTGCCGTAATGTCTTCTTTCTGTTTCTTTTCCCCTTTGTGTATGCAGATACGAGCTGCCCCAGTACGGCAGTCGCAGGAAGCTGATCTCACCCTCCGGCCTTTATGATGAATATGGAGAGGTTGTTGTTGATGACGATGGAAGCTACTACTACAGCCCGCAGGAGTCAGATGGAGAGGTAGGCCAAAAACAAGACTGAGGGCAAACTTATCAAGAGCAGGTTGATCAGATGCAGTCAGTGTGCAAAAAGCAGCTTGTTAAAGTCATATTCAGGCTGTATAATGTCAAATCCTACATATACAGGGACATGCAAATGGATCCAGTTAAAAAATATAAACATTAGATTTAAATAAACATTAAACAGCTACTCTAAAATAGTCAAGTGCTTCAATCTCTAAATTGGATTTGACTATTTGAGGATTCAATCTGAGCAGTAATATTACTTTTACAACCAAATCATAACTAATAAATTCATATTTATATCTACTAAACTAGACAAATGAAAGGCCACGGTGTTTACATGCCATTTTTAAACTTACCCCACTCCTTAAAAGGAGGAAAATGCTGAAAATTTAATGGTGTGTGTTGTTTGAGGTTATTCCTGCATTTCAGGCCTGCATTCAAAACATTTGTACTGTTAAGTTTTTTTATTGTAGGGTTTGGCAAATTGAGTGCTTTAAGAGCTCAATATATATTACCTCTACTTATGACCAATAAGCTGTGATACTCTATCTAAATATGGAATATCAACTCTGCTTGGTCTTTATGGTGTTTAATCAGAAGATTCTTGGATTCTTCGTTTTGATTCAGAAAACAGGTTTATAAAAGAATTTATTTTACTAACAATTAAAACATGACAATTTAACCAACATTTATGTTTATTATGTTTATGTTTATTCATTTAGCAGACGCTTTTATCCAAAGTGACTTACAATTTATAACCTATAGGGCATGTCGTGATCTGTGGGGGAAACCGGACAGTGTTGGGAGTAATGTGGTACAAAAGTAATTAATTACTGTAATGCATTGCTTTTTGCTGTAATGTAGTAATGTAAGGCATTACAGGGAAAGAAAATGGTAATATTTACTCAGTACACTTGTCAGTAACGCTGTAATTACAATGCTTTTTTAAACCCAGAATCAAGATGTGGGTTTCCTAAAAATTCAAATTGCGGGAAGCCTGAAAAAAGATCCAGTATCCACATATATTACGTCATCTATGGACTCAGTTTTGCAGGCATTCTATGAACAGAGAGGACGCAGCAGTAATGGCTCAAATACTCCAGCTGCATCCTGCGCACGGCCACTGTTATATTCACAAAATTGCTCCACCACAACAAAGTCATTCGTTTGCGATCGTGTATATCAGCCCATATTCACTGGTACTTCATGTACTTTTCAGCTGAGTTCATAATCTGTGCCCCGGTGATTTGTACTCATTGCTGCTGGAGCGCAGCGCATATTAAGCTTTATTTATTTATTTATTTTTGTGTTTGGTAGATCCCTTTGGCTGATTAGTTAGAAAGTAGAAAATCTAAGAAACAGTTTTTCTGGAAGACGGAGAAAACATGCAGCATGCAGGAAGGTTACAGAGAGAAAGAGCCGGAAATTATTCAAATAAAATCAAGAAAACAAAACAAAGTGCTTGAAAAGAAAAAAGGTAGTTAGATTTATCCCCAATACACATTTTTACCTATGAAAAGCTATAATATATAAGCATTTAATATTTATACATGTGATAGAATCAGATCACCCCAGAAGTCAGTCCCACATCCAGGGCCGTATCAAGGCATTTGGGGACCAAGGTAAATATAGGCTTGGAGCCCCCACCACCTCACTCCCTGCTCAGTTAATATAAGATGGCAGCGTGCTGAGAGTACAGATTGTTGTTGCTTTTATTTAATAAACAATCATTTTAAAGCACTGTTATTATATCTGACTGTTTTTAACAGCAATCCTAGCTTAGACACCACATCACTTTCCACATATATGTCATGAGCTCACTGAGCGTCAGATTACCAGATTCATAGTGAAGGTGTTTTGGTGAAAGTAACTTAAAGTAATGCAAAAGTAGTGTAATTCCTTAAATTTTTAAATCAGTAATATTGTAATGTAATGAATTACTTTAAAATGAGGGTAACAAGTAATAAATAATGTATTAAAGTTTTGAAGTAACTTGCCCAACACTGAAACCGGAGTACCCGGAGGAAACCCACACATGCATGGGGAGAACACGCAACTCCACACAGAAAGGCCGTAGCCGAGTTTCGAACCTGCAACCTTCGTGCTGTGAGGCAACAGTGCCTACCACTGCACCACCATGCAGCCCATGCAGCATATTTACTGTGATGGATGGAACTAGATGTGATGTATGAATCTATGTGTGAATGTGGTGTTAGTCAGAACTTTCTTAGCTTCCTTCTCTAGGAGAGCTGAGTTCTGGATGTAAAAGAATTTGGTTTGCGTTAAGCTATGAAGGTGGTTGTTATCAAAACACATCAGACGCAATCTGTCATGTCTACTTCACCCGCTCTCGGAGGCCCTCTTTGTGAATCCAAAGGTCAGAGAGGTCGGCTGACCTCTGGCACCGAAGGGCTGTAGAATATCGTGGCACTGACGCTTCAGTCCAGAGATGTCTCGGGTCACAACAAATAGATGGAACCGTCTGGGACTCTGAAGGAGTCTAAACAATATCAGCTTGTTCTGCAGGAACTGTCGCGGCATCAGCTTCGCAGGTGCAAAAAGATTTTGACGACGTGTCAAAAGCTTTGATGGATTAAAGAGATTTTGTTTCAGCTGGCCAGTCTGAAACTTTCTGTAGAACTGAGAGATCACCCAGAGTGATCCAGTTTTAAGGAATTTGCGTAGCCGACCAAAGGTTGACAAGTTGAGGAATGGTTACCAGGACAACCTCAGAAACACGCATTCTTTGATACGGATGCTCTGACTAGGGTAAAAGACTATTTTTGTGTCACAAGTTCAACTTAACCTTACTTGTTCTTGTGTGAGTGCAAATGGTGATGACCTTGCTATATAAACAACATAACATTCATTTCAAACTTCAATCATTGAGCACAGATTAATGAAACATTTCATTATATCATAATTATTATAAGTAGCAATAAACAAACGTTTATTTAATGATTATCTAGTTTATAAGTTGTAGAGGAAGTTCATATTGATTTAGGAAATCATTCTTGATTTAGAAACTGATCCGAGCTGGAGTGTTCCTTATATGGAGGCATGAAGATCTGAAAGATTGGACCTTGAGGAGAAAACGTTATTGTTGACATTTCGTTATCTGTTCAGAGCTGCAGGCTCTGAGCTCCAGCTGGCGGGATGGAGGCAGGCTGATTTCAAAGGGGACACATGCACTCTCGTGTCTCCTTTTTGACCAGATGTTGAATGGTCAAACAGTACCTAAAAACTGACCATTGCTGGACGTTACTTTAGGCATTCCTTATACTATACATCAGGACATTTGTGGCACTCCTAGTGATCACTTTATCACTTTCATTTTTTTCGGCAAAAAGTCCAAGTTGGTGAATTTTCTCTTTGTACTCATAAGAAGGAACAGTCAGGATCCAGGCCAGTGCACATACAGTACTGTCTTTGTTACATTGCCAGGTTTAAAAATGCTCAAGCGTACCTGGAAAATTGGCACATTCTTCAAAATTGCATTTGTATTATTTGCATAAAATCTTCGACCACAGAGGGGAAAATGAACACCTGTCTAACCATCACAGAGGCTGCATAATGGACTTGTCAGCGATAATCAGAATTCATTTTCTTGATTTGCTTGAACAAAATACACATTTCATCTGTGTTGGTGGCTTCTTATTCAAGGTCAACAAAAATCTGCTTTTAAAATAAAAAATAATTTAAAAAAGCTTATTTTTGAACATTCAGGTTAAAGAAATTCCTCGTCGTTGTGGTTGTCCTTTTCAGAACTCTGGTGTCCAGCTTTGTTTTGGTCGTTAACACACAGACATTTCCCCTGACGTCTTGAATCCACTCATCGTGTTTTGAGCCCTTTTCCAGTCCCTCTTTAAAGAAAATTGCTTGCCAACACTTCCCATTGTGATCATTGCTATGGTGATTTTTTTCTCCTGTTTTGACTTTATACTGGATAGCAATTTTTCATAAAATTGAAAAACAACTGAACAAAAAAGTTTGCTTTAAATCTCCTTACTTATCTTGAATTTTTCAAACTTCCATTGGAATGTATTGCAATCCTGAAATGCAGGAAGTGTGTGTGAATGACTGCAATGATCTGATCTACATGATCTGATTGAGTGTAAAAACAGCCTCTAGACACAGAAACCGAGATCATAATCTTCCATACACTCAACCACCAACAACCATCTGAGAAACACGTTTTATTTTGTTCCCGAGAACAAAACCGGTAACAGAGAGGTAATAAAGGCCAGGGCTGGGTGAGATCTCCGATAGAACGGTCATGTCAGAACATTTTGACAGACCAGCAGGCTAAAGGAAAACTTTACTTTCAGGCTTTTTACTGAGCATCCTGCAAAACATCAAAACAAAAGAAAATGTATAGAAGAAGAAGATTAAAGATAAAGTATTTGCCACATTCTGACAAAAGGGACGAGTTTAAGATGAAGAAGAGAATACTTATGTTTTATAGTTGGACAGCATTTTCAAGCTGAACCCATAAAAACATTTCAAAGTGAAAACTAGACCATGAGATTGTTTTTCCCTGTACAGATAAAAAACTGATGCATTATTTTATACTTGAAATGTAACGTGAACGCTCCCACTTATAATGTGTCTTTAGTATATTTTTTGCCTCTGAAGGAATATTTCATCATGCAACAGGTGAGAGGAAGCCGCTGTGATCACCACAAGCCCCGCCCTCCACCTGTCCCGCCTCCTGCTAAGACACTAGGACCCTCAAGAGCTGCTCGGGGGGACCAAAAACCAGACGGTCCTACTGGTAACGTTAAAGGCTCCGGGGCAGATTCCAGGTTAAAAGCTGTAATGAGAATGGCCACGCTGATATCCCCCATGGGTAAAACATCCTCACAACCCCCCACCATCCACCCCCCATGGAATAAAGCCAGAGTCAGACCGATGGGGGATGGAGCCAAGCTGGCAGGTAGAGAGGATGATGTGAGGTTGGACAAAGAGGACAACAGAATGGGAGGGAAGGAAGTGAGAGAACTGGAAGTTGGGAGTAACATTGGGATGAGAAATGCAGCTGGAGACAGAGGAGGTGTCAGACCGGAGCATAGGGGGAAGCTCCCTGGCATGTTGTCCTCTGGCCAGGCGTCCAGTCTGGACGGCGCCTTGGTCATCAATGGGAGTTATTTCCAAAAGCTCACCAAAGCAAATGATGAACCCCCACCAGTGAAACAAAAGCTCAGCGAGTCTTTCAGTCTTATCTCGTTAGCCAGAAGGCTCCAACAGCCTGCCAGGGTGGGTGATGAGCAGTGGAGCTGGGACAGTAGGAGGATTTACAGCTCCATAGGAGATATGAGCGTCTCCGCATCAGTGTCTGCCAGAGGAGACAGCAGGAGGGGACGGGAGAGCGGGGACAGCGTGACGGATCAAAGTGATTCAGAAACCTGTAGCAAAGAGTCTCAATCAGAGCTCAGCCCCTCTGACAGGAGCAGCCGGAGCTCCTCAGCAGCTACGGATAGTGATGAGTCGGACTCTGGAACAGAGAGGGATGACGAGAGTCAGGACGAGGAGGAAGAGTCTCAGAAAGAGTCGGGGTCAGAGGATGAAGATGAAAGGACACATTCGAGCAGGAAAACCCATGGTAGCAGTGACTCTAAAAGCTCCAGATATTCCAGTTCCAGGCCCAAAAAGTCAAAACACTCACGTTCAAATCATAACAATGTCAGTGACGAGAACAGCCAAGTGGAGGAGGAGCGGAAGAAAAAGAATGGATCGAGAGAGAAAAGCAGGCGAGCTGTTGGACACAAACAATCAGACATCAGCTTGAGTTTGATGGACACCTCAGATGATCTGTCACCCATCTTGGAGGAAGAGGAGGAGAGCAGCAGCTTCCACAGTGAAGAAGAAGAGGGGTATTGGAGGAATGAGTCAGCTGCTTGAGGTCTTAGCCTCCTCCTGAGATTCAAATCTCTGCCACCAAGGTGGGATAACCTGGTTTGGGTGTGCAGCCGTTACCTGAGTGGAAGCTTTTATCTTTCCTCACCGCATGCTTTGATTTATTCCCAGAGGACGACGCGTCCTCCTCTGCCCTCCCGCTATGCTTTTCCATTCCTTAATACTCTTTCTCCAATAAGAACCCCCTTCACCCCCTTCTCTCATATCCATTTGCCTCTTGAAGCCGTTGTCAGCTCCACATCTGTTGACTCCTCTTGTACTGCAGCAGACGCTCCTCTGCCATCTGATTAAATCTCTGCAGCTGCAGCTCAAACATTGTTATTCACTGATCTCTCTTTGTAGAACAGAAGGTTTGTGTGAATTTTTCCTCCTTCGTCATCTCTCCTCCGTGTGCGTCATTCTCCTGGGATCATTCGGCTTTCCCTACATCTGTTATATGTAGGAGGAGAAAAAATAAAAAATAAATAATGAGAAAGAGAACATGTTCTTTCTCGCATACTATCAAGGTTAAGTGGAAGAAACTGTGGGGGTTACATTGTGTGATAGCAGATTGGATTTTTTTTCACAAAGGTCCTTCTTCTGTGTGTGTGTGTGTGTGTGTGTGTGTGTGTGTGTGTGTGTGTGTGTGTGTGTGTGTGTGTGTGTGTGTGTGTGTGTGTGTGTGTGTGTGTGTGTGTGTGTGTGTGTGTGTGTGTGGCTGAGTTGGCTCTACCACTAGCAAAGCTGATCAGAAATTAGCACCGCGTGGAAGCATGTCTTCAAAAGCGTTATCAGTGTTTTCCTATGTTAGTAATGTAACATCAGATGACTCAAAGGCTGCTGGTGAGGAGCAGGAAGTGAGCATTGCTGCGCTGACCTTGCTTTGGGCTTGCTGTGACAGAACGCTCTGACTTTTCTTTGCGCAAGGTCTGACTTTTACAGGACAAACGTTTAAAGACAAAAGCTGATAGAAAATGACCAGAAATGACATTTTAAATCATAGACCTATGTAGGTTAAATGTTGAAAACTAAAAGAGGAGATTGTGGTTGCACTGCTTTGTTTATTACATTGGCAAAGGTTTTAAATTGTCTGCCAGTGCTAAAAACTAAATCCATGCAAAGACATATTTTTCTAATACTTAACAGGAATATATTGGGCTCCTGCGTGGGTCTCTACTGCCTCTATAAACATTCTGTGTTTGGTTTTAGGGATAATGTGCCTAAAATGAGCTGTTTAAAATAGTCCCCAATTGTGATGTCACAAACAGGGTATTTATTAATTTTAATTATATATTTTTATTTATTTTACTGTTTTTCACCTGGAGGAGAGCTGTTGCTGGAGCAGCAGCAGCTCTACTGTGAGTTCATCCCAGATATCAGAGCTTCTCGGCTTATAGCAGTCTGAGCAGGGGATAGGTGAGCGTGGACAGTGCCCTAAAACGGCTCATTCTAAAAGGTACTGAAAATGCCAAAAATAAATGTCTTTATACGAGAGGCTTTTGGTGGAATGAACTTCATGAATGTTTTTATCTACCATATAACTTTTATAACTTAAGAAAAAAAAGTCCTAATATGTCCCCTATGAATTAAAGTAATAGTTTAATGAATGATACCTAACATGTTGTAGAAGGCTCTTTGAATGGCCTCTGTTTGGAGGAACAGAGATAAAGTCTGAACAGTTTGACAAGCTAAAATTTAGTCACTGTATAGTCACTTTGTATGTATGTAGCTGCCATCCAAAAACAACTCATCTATAAAGATTCATAGCATTTCACATGTATAAATTTTGCATTACAGTTATTTACATGGTCAGGATCACCAACTTGTAGTAATAAACACTGGCAGAGAAGGGTAGTGGGGGTTCTTATGTTAGTAAGTTTGCATCTTGTAAGACCACATGAATTGTCATGAACAGAAAGTATTCAATAAAAATGACATTATGTAAATTTAGTTTTTGTTGGATGGCATGAAACTAGCATCTTACCACAGTTTATTAGAACTACACTTCCGCTACCAAACTGGGACTTTTGACTTTTCTATTGTAGCTCTGTGGTTGTGAAAATCACACAACAGACATTGTGACAAAGGACCAATTAGTGACAGATTTTTATTTTTGAACTGAAATAATATACGAAAGAGTAACAGGGGCTTTCTAATCGATGTCATGATGTGTAGCAATTCCTAAAGGTGTGGATTACTGAAAAGAAAAAGAAAAAACATTATTATTTCTGATTATAGTCGGTCACCGAGTTTTTGATGCAGGCTGAACAGCTATCTCCTGCGTCAGCTTCTGATAGAAAATAAACAGTCAAAATCTAAGACTTGGAAAGCCTGACAGCATGACATCACACTGTCACTCAACATTCATGGACTCACCCATCTTGACTCACAACGGGGAAGGCTGCTGTTGGTTTGGCATCCAGGAAATGGCAGAAAACGTCTCGGCTGATCTAACCGTTAGCATTAGCAACTCCACCGCTTGGCAAAACTCCTCCAGGCTTGTGTTGTTTGTGCAGATAAAACATCAATGTTGCAGAGCAAACACAGCTAGTGGTAGCGTTGCATTGTTGTTACCCAATCAGAAGGGAGATGTTTGAATATCAGGAAGTTCTGTGATCTGGCAATCTTCTAGATCAGGGTTCCCCTATCCTGGTCCTGGAGGGCCGGTATCCTGCATGTTTTAGTTTGAACTCTGTTTCAACACACCTGATTTCAATCAGCAGCTAATTAACAGGCTTCTGCAGAGCCTGATGAGCTGCTGCACAGGTGTTTCAACCACTGAATCAAGTCTGTTGGAGCAGGAAAACCACAAAACCTGCTGGATCCCGGCCCTCCAGGACCAGGATTGGGGACCCCTGTTCCAGATCCTGAAACAAGCACGCCAGGGCTTTTTGTACCTAGAGTATGTCTTACAAGGCATTCATTCCTACTAGAGACCACTGGACAACAATGTATTAATTAAACAAGTGAACCACAACTTTCACACTCTCATAAGTTTCCTTTCATTTTCCCAGCAGGGCAGTCGAAAACGCCGGATCAAGTTGGTGCTTGACCGAGAGTACGAGACCAGCTCTACTGGTGAGGACAGCATCCCAGACACCCAACGCAACCGCCTGTCCACCACGCAAACGAACCACGTTAATGTCAATGGGAGCATCTACGTGGCCCAGAACGGATCCATCATCCGCACCCGGCGTTCAGGAAACCCTTCAGGTCCCACACACACCACCAGCACCACAAACAACAATCTGAAAGTCAACTCGCCAGTCTTCAGCTCACGTCTGGCCAAGCATTTTAAAAAGCTTGATAAAATGGCTGCCACATTGGAGGAGAGAGCCCCCTTGAATAGCCCCAACACATCAGTGGACGGAGGACGCATTACACTGAGCACCTTCCAAAGCTCCAGAAGGGCTGTCTCGTCTACAGCCACTTCTTCCTTCTCGAACACGGACAACAATAAAATGCTGAATGTGTTAAACACTCGGCAATCCAGCGTGTCTTTAGGGTCAACTAGCATGAGCAACACGGGCCCTGGAAGCATGGTGTCTAAAACGGACGTGCCCACGGCGGCATGCAGCAGCACAGAGCAGCCCGAGAGTCCAGCAGGGACAGATGGGTTACAGGAGGGAGACAGGGAGTCGAAGGTCGACAGAGACAAGGACGATAGCGTCGTCCCGAGGGAGCCGCTGGAGTGTCCTAGTGACAGAACACAGTCAGATGAGGAGGAGTTGTGGATGGGCCCGTGGAACAGCCTTCACATACCCATGACTAAACTCTGACTGACCCCGACGCCACTGTGCTCGTTCTTTATTTCCAAGATCATCAGACGTTTCCCACCTTATTTCTCTTTGTTTGCTGTGGGACTACTGGGATCACTCCAGTTCAGAGTAAATACATCACAACAGCTGATCAGCCACTCTCATAGTCCTCTGCACATATCATCAGATGATTATTTTTTCATAAATTACAAAAACATTTGCTGAGAAATCTCTGAGTAAATATGGAATTTAATTGATCTGTTTTGCCTCACTCTTCTGTTCATCCCATCAGTCTAACTGATCCCAGAGCAGCAGCACCCTTCAGAAACTGGACCTACAGAGAGAAGACAAACTATATTTATATTTTGAACAGGGAAAACGTGACAATTATTTATTTCACGGCCCTTTAAGCATCTGGTGTCTGTATGGAACTGTGCTTGTTTCATTCAGTGTTACAGCCACTTGAATTTGCCTGATGTATTTCATTGACACATGATGTCTTGTATTGTACACACTTGCCTTTTTATTCTTGTCAAGTTGCTTGGCAGACTCAATCCAAATAAAGTTTAATCTATGGAAAGTGGAGTTGTGGCTCTCTTGGTGCCCTGCACCGGCACAACAAATGCTGGAGAACAAACCTGCTCCGAACAGGCTCGCAGCTAGGCTTGCCGAAGCTTGGTGAATATGACTGGACGAGGCATGTTATGTCCCCTTTTTCTTGTTGGCAGCTGGCAGCTACGAAGTGGTGAATTAGTGCCACCGCTGGCCCACAGACGTAAATTCTTAAAACTCACAGCTGCTCAGCAAAAACAAAGTCCTCCAGTCTCTAAACACCCAGACTCTGGAACAGAACATGAAAACAATAAAATAAATATGTGGAAAAACAGAGCTGATGCAGATTTCCAACATTGCCACGCTGAGCGTTCTAACTAAATAGCGCTAGCTACACAGCTGTAAACAGCTGGTGGTTTCTGTTTTAGTGCTGATATCTTTGTAGTCCTCATAAGCATGAATTAATCATTCTTACGCTTTCTGGGAGAAGAACACGGAGCTGTCCTTTTCTTCCATTCTCATTTATAATCAAGCTCCATCATACATCAGTGACCTGATTGTTCCATATGTTCCTAACCAAGCACTTCGCTCTCAGGACTGCAGGTTTACTGGTGGTTCCCAGAATATCTAAAAATAGGATGGGATGCACATCTTTTAGCTATCAGGCTCCTCTCTTGTGGAACCAACTCCCAGCTTTAGTCTGTGAGGCAGACACCTTGTCTACTTTTAAGACTAGGCTTAAAACATTTTTATTTGAAAGGGCCTATGGTTAAAATCTGATGTTAGCCTAAATCTGGACAAATGGGGGAGTAGAGGGAGGTGGAGTGTACAGTCGGTAAAGACGACTCTCCCTTGCCCTGCCTCCAACATGCCACCATCTAAAAGTTATCTCTGTAGTTATGCTGCTGTAAGGACACACTGACTACTTTCCACACTCTACTACAGTGGTCCTCAATAGGCAGCCTGTGTGCGGGCAGAAGCAACCTGACTCTGGATAAGCGGATGAAAATGGATGGATGGACAAATGACAGATTTACATGTAAGTAGTTTAAATAGAGTACTGTGCTGTTTGAATGTATAAACTGAACGCCAAGAGAAATCACTAGTTTATTTTCTTCACGGAAAAAAATCATATGTCAGGCAGGAGCGTCTCAGGATCTGTCTGAGATCTATCTCGGTGAGAAAGATAATTAGCCTGGCAAGCCAGACTAAATAAATGTATTATTTGCAAAGCAAGAATTTGGTCTAGTTCACTAGGCTAACAGATAATAGCAATCCAAAGTGCTTTTTATGTGTGATATGACAATTGATCAACCATTGCTTAAAAATTAAATACAGCTTAGCCGGTTAATTGCTGTGATCATAAAACACAAACGCCAGCACACAGAACTCACGAGACAACGTTTTACGTGATGTTTACTTGTTGCTATGAGTAATAAGACAGAAAAAGCCACGCCAAAATAAGGCCCTGTCCACACGTAGCCGGGGATCTGCCATAACGTAGATATTTTTCTACGTATTGGCCTGTCATCCACACGAAAATGGAGTTTTTTCACACGAAAACGGATCTTTTTTAAAACTCCGGCCAAAGTGAAGATCTGCGTTTTCTCAGTTTTGGGTGTCTGCGTGTGGACAGACAAAACCGGAGTTTTAAGGTCCACAACGTCACTTTCCGCGACAAAAAAAAATGCTGACATCACGTGTGCGACCTGTGTTTACACTAGCCGACAGCATGGATGCCCTCAGAGGTGCGCTCGCTTTATCAACTGTCCAAGCGCTTTTTGCTTGTTTGTTTTTGCAAGCGGAATTACTGCTCTTTGCGGAAGACCACAGACGAAGGACGAGGTTAAGAACGGGGGATGTACTGCTGCCTACAGGTCTGGCATGTCCTTAACAACGTATTTATCCGGGTACGTGTGGACAGAGTTTTTTTTAAAACGAGGTGGTGTGGATGCAAGTTTTTGGAGGGGCGGATATTCGTTTTTAAAAAAACCCGGCTACGTGTGGACTAGGCCTAAATTTAGGAAGCCCACTAAGAATCGTAATAAAAGCATTTAAAATAAATACCATACACAGTTGAGGAAACGTTGGTTTAAGTACCTGATATGAAGTGGTCGCTGCATACGTGAAAACCTTTACTCTCGGGATCCAACAGTTTCATTTTAGCCCGGTCACCAGTGTGTTTTATTACAATGATCAAACGTTTGCGGCGCTCCGGATCTTGGGGAATCCTGTAGATGGCTCATTCCTTATGTCGTCCGCGTCTGTTCTGCATCCTGGGGCAAAACAGGAATCTACCATATTTCCCGTTTGATTGAGTTTTCTGAGAATAACAAATAGTCCAGCTGCGGGCTTCTGCATGCCAATATGCCGCAGTTTCGATTTGAACTGTTGCAGGCCGGGAGAAGTGACGTCAACTCCTGGAGCTCTAGAGGCAGCCTGTGTGCAGGCAGAAGCAACCCCACCCCCCCACCCCCACCCGGTCTGGACCTCTTCTTCTCTCTTACTTGCATTATTTCCTGTTATTTCAGCTGTTAACTTTATTTTTTCTCTAAGTGTTTTTCTCCCCAGAAGAAGCTACAATGGTGTTCTGCTGAATTGTGGTAGCCTCATGGGGGGGGTGGGGGTTGGGGGGGGGGGGGGGGGGGCATCGGCTTGAACACTGTTGCTAACCATGTTTGGTATGTTCTTACTGTGTTGCTTTTCTAACTGCATTGTTGGTTCTTTTTTAAAACACAGAAAAGGTTTCTTTTTTACCTTGCTGCTGACAAGTTTCGTTTGCGGCTGCTCTGAGGAAGTTTGCAGCCGCAAACGAAACTGTCAGCAGCAAGGTAAAAAAGAAACCTTTTCTGTGTTTTAAAAAGAACCAACAATGCACTGTTGCTAACCACTTAAACACTCTCCCTCTCCTGATAATAGCATTTTACTTTCTTTGACATTGAATGTGCTACTACTAGTTTACCTGTTGAATTATAGATTTGATAAATACAGTAAAGTTTATCTTTCACTAAATAGAATATTTACTAAGAAATCACAATGTAACCATAGAAACACTACTTGGTATGTATGTTATGTAGATGTTTGTGTGGGTGGGCTGGTGTTGGTGTTTGCGTGTGTCTGCTCTGTCTTCTCGATTCAATTCAATTCAAGTTTATTTATATAGCGCCAAATCATGACAAGAGTCATCTCAAGGCACTTCACATCCCCAGTGAGTCGTGGTGGATGGCTGTTTATACTGAGCCAGGATCCTCTGGAGGCTTCTTCCTGTTAAAAGGGAGTTTTTCTCTCCACTGTCACTAAAAGCTTGCTTAGTATGAGGATTGCTGTAAAGTCACTGACACCAGTCAGTGACTTGATGCAATTGCTGGCTTCCTTCTATAGGAAACTTTTTACTGATTGGCTTAATGGACCTGTATTGGAATGTTTACTATGTGAAGTGCCTTGAGACGACTCTTGTCGTGACTTGGCGCTTTATAAATAATTTATCTAGCATCGATTAACGTGGGCTGTCAGTGGATGCCCGTGATGCTCGCTTGCCACTCCTTGCTTTGATTACAGAGGATTAAATCCACCTGAGCATCGTTTGTGGAACTGACAAATTCTCGAGTGAACAGGTAGGATTTGTTAAGCAGGGATTTATCGGGAAGGCCTTGATGTTCAAAATTTGCTTCTTGGAATACCCTCCAGGGGTGCCCAATCCTGGGCCGGTATCCAACACGTTTTAGTGGTTACTCTGCTCCAACACGCTTGATTCAGTGATTGAATCACCTGTGCAGCAGCTTATCAAGCTCTGCAGAAGCCTGCTAATCACCTGCTGACTGAAATCAGGTGTGCTGAAACAGGGTTAAAACTAGAACATTCTGGATACTGGCCCTCCAGGCTTAGGATAGAGCCCCCCTGCTCTATAGACTACATCTATATAGTTTAGATTTACATCATGTTTTCACTTTAGGTTTGCATTGATGGTAATTAATAGGGGTACACGATATATTGGTATCAACATCAGTATTGGCCTAATGTAGTCATTTTTTTAATTCATTTCAATTCAATGACGATTAATGTGTCATTGTTGGTCTGATTAGTGAAAATGGGTCGATATTAAACCAATGCTTAATTTCATCTTGTTGCTGTTTATGTTTCGGGGTGTGGGGTGGTTTCCTGAAGATTAGAAGCAGTCTAGGAGTTGTGGTCATCAACCATGACAGCAGTATAAATATCAGATATCGATTTAGGCCCAAATTTCTATTGGTGCACCCCTAGTAATTAAAAGTTTTCATAGATGATCTAAAGCCATTTTGGCCCATCATACTCCAGCTTAGTGACAGTTGATATAAGTGACTGTCTGGTTGCCACACAGGAGCTGCCTTTCTTTTCTTTGTTGTTATGTACAGGGATTTTAATTTAAAAGTGATGCTTGTTCTAAAACAGATGCACCAATGCAACTGTGGAGGAAACTGAAACCACATAATGGGTGGAGCATAGGGCTGGGCAATAAATTTAAAATTTATTATCGAAATTTCTGACTCTTATCGAGAATTTTTTCCATGTCAGTAAAATTGATAATAAAAAAATGAAAAGATGTGTGTAGGTTGGCAACGTTCATGTCCGTTTACGAAGCTGTACCACCTTGAGTCACGTAAAAATGTGACTCACCGTAATACACGTGACAACCCCATCTAGTGGAAAACTTTTGTTTCTGTGCATAACTGTAGTTATCATCCATTTATCATTATCGAGGTGAAATCCTCAATATATTGTGATATTGATTTTAGGCCATATCGCCCAGCCCTAGTGGAGCATAAGAATGTTCTAGCAAAACTGTAGAAATGAGAAACATCCATGCCAAAACCAGCAAAAAATATTAAATAATTAAGAGTTATACATAATTTCTTTTTCCAAACACTTGACTGGAAGCATTTTTATTTTTTGTGTTTTGTTTCAAATTTAATCACCTTTCCAAAGTTTTTACAAAAATGCTGTTAAAATTTTCAGTGAAGTTCTCTGGCTTTAAAGTTAATTACTTTTTGAATAATCATAACAATAATTCCTGAACGTAGTGCAAATTTGCTGCATTAAATTAACATAACTATTCATTTTTCTAAGTTTCTTCAGAAGAAAGACTTCCTTTGGGATCCAGTTACCAGAACACGTTTCTCCTGTCAAACTTTATTATCAAGAAGGTGTCTGAACTTTTTATTGTGAAACACATTACAGTGAATTGTTTCATTTGAAGTCCTGAGGAGGAAGGGTCATTAACCTGCACAACTACCTGCTTTAAGAACTGGTAATTTAATTTGATGACTGCATAATTTTGCATTAAGGGGCTCGACAGAGTGTGCCATGCTGATATTTGAAAGCGAGGGCTCGTTATTAAGCTGAATTAGCGAATTGAGCCACAGAGTAATATAACAGAGTATATAACACTTTATGGAAGGCTGGGCACGTCTGAGGGACTCTCATTGATTCAACCAAACGAGCTGATTATGCCACCGATTCCTGAGTCCAGTGTGCAGAGCCGAAGGAACGGGCTCGTTAAGTTCCTGCACCAGACTTGATTAGCTTATTTCTTTTCAGTGGAGAAAAAAGAATGTTGCACTTTTTGCATTCATTCTGCTCAAATTCAAATTAAATGAGCCTGATGAGCATAATTAACACATTGTACAAAGTTGTCATATTCACGACAAATTCTACTTAAGTAACAATTTGCAGTAAATTACATTATTTCATTATTTCCATCACAGATATCATTTTACCAATTCTAGCAAGATGGCGCCCATGAGTGGTTGTGCGTCTGCTAGGCTCCTGATCGGTTTTGGTTATTTGTTGTTTTTTATTGTTTTTTCTCTATCTGGTGCGGAGTCCCTGCTAACATATGATCGAGACTTACTGTTGTCGATCAGGTCCGCGATGATCAACCTCTAGAACTCCGATACCAGACCCGCTTTCCCACCGCCTCTGGAACCTGGCGTTAACCCAGGTCTCGGCCCTCTGTTACCTGTCAGCCTGCCGCTGCCCAGGAGGCCATGGAAGAGGAAACGGGGGAAGGGGGCCGGCTTCTTCATTCAGCTTCGAAAGATCCTGAGAGGTGAAGCTCTGTCTGATTGCTGCTCCGCGGCTGTGTTGTGGTGGATCCAACAGAAACTTAACGGAATTGGGCTGATCTTGCTGCTAAATGGAGCCCCTGATGCGGGACACTACCTGAAGGCGTGGGAGACAAAGAACCTCCGCGGGCGTAGCCTGGAGTTGCTACGTAGCTTAGCCCGCCAGCTGCCCGCCATTATCGAGCCCGCGGCACACATATCGCCAGATTCCTCCACGAAAATTATGTTGATTAACGCGCGCTCCATTGCCAACAAGTCTCACATCCTCAACGATCTGTTCCGCACCAATAAATTAAACTTTTTGTGGATTTCTGAGTCGTGGCAGCACGGAAATGACGTCACTCATCTCCGTGAGCTCTGTCCTCAAGACTGCTCTTTCTTCTCTGCCCCACGGACTACAGGCCGCGGTGGAGGAACAGCTGTTATCTTTAAGAAACACTTTTCGTGCCAAATTATATCCTCAAACTCCTACAGCTCATTCGAGATGATCACGATTAAAATTGGTTGAGTTCAACCAGTTTATGGAATACTGGTCTATCGCCCACCTGGATCTACTTCATCTCTCCTGTCTGACTTTCAGGACCTCCTATATTCAACTATTAAACTAGACAGGATAATCATTGTTGGAGATTTCAACATCCACGCTGAGGATCTATCGAACAGCTCCACTAGGGAGTTCCTAAACATAATGAACTCAACTTCTCTCAACACGTGTCTGGTCCCACTCACAGAGCAGGCCACACCCTGGATCTGGTATTTTCCTACGGACTTCTTGTTGATAAGCTGCAGATAAATGATGTTGTGTTCAGTGACCATAAGTCAGTTTCTTTTCATATTAACCTAAATTCTGAATCTCTTTTACCAGTCTCTGCTAAGCAAAGACGTATTATCAACAGTTCTACCATTTTAAATTTCTCCTCCCTCTTTGACTTTGTACCTCCTTCCTCTGATGACGTAGAGCTCCTTACCAACTCATTTAATGATCACTGCCTCAAAATTCTAGATCAGGTCGCCCCTTACAAAACCAGCCGCAGTTCCAGTGCCTCCAGTTCACCCTGGCTGAACAACCAGATTCTTGATCTTAGACGCTCCTATAGAAAAGCGGAACGACGGTGGAAGAGGACAGGTCTGGTTGTTCATCGCGAATATTTTAAAGAACTTCTCGAGTCATACAACGAAGCTGTAGAAAATGCCAGGTCTTCTTTCTTCAGCAACCTCATATGCCAAAATAAGAATAATCCTAAGGTTTTGTTTGATACCATCTCCAGCATCGTGTCTTCTCCTCCGCAGCAGGCTCAGCTATCTTCAGCTGATGACTGTAACAGATTTCTCCACTTTTTTGCAAACAAGGTGCTGAATCTGAGATCCAGCATTCCACCAGCCCTCCCCCCCTCAGGAGGGGAGGCCCCTCAGTGCTCCGAGTCTTTCACCTCCTTCTCCCCAATTACACTAAATGACTTAACCTCAATAATCAGTCAGATGAAACTCTCATCATGCTCATCAGATATCTTAACTCCCTCTGTTTTAGTCGGGTCCCTTGCCTCTATCAGTCCATCTCTGTTGACTATAATCAACAGCTCACTGAGCCAAGGCTGTGTTCCATCTTACTTTAAAAATGCAGTAGTGACTCCTCTCTTAAAGAAACCCGACCTTGACGCCAGCTCCACCAGTAACTTTAGGCCCATTTCTAAGCTACCTTTCATCAGCAAAGTACTTGAGAAGGTTGATGAAACCCAACTCAGATCCTGGTTTTCTAAGTCAAAGATCTCTGACCCCTTCCAATCTGGCTTTCTGAAGCAGCACTCAACCGAGACTGCTCTAGTAAGGGTGCATAATGACCTCCTGATGGCTGCTGATGCAGGGAAATGCTCTGTCATGGTCCTGCTTGACCTCAGTGCAGCTTTTGACACTGTAGACCACAACGTTCTACTAAACAGGTTAAAGGCCCTGGCTGGGATTTCAGGTACTGCTCTAGACTGGCTCTCTTCTTATCTCACCAACAGAACATTCACAGTGAAGTCCGAAACCTTCTCTTCAGATACTGCCTCTCTAACATGCGGGGTCCCACAAGGTTCAGTTCTAGGGCCTCTACTATTCGCATTCTTATTCTTCCCCTAGCTGGCATCATTCAGTCTTTCCCAGACATCTCCTACCACATCTACGCTGATGATATTCAGCTCTATATGCCCTTTATGCCACACCAGTTGGACAGGCTGGCCACACTTGTACTCTGCCTGACCCAGATCAGTAACTGGCTGTCCAGCAACTTTCTGGTCCTCAATGCTAACAAGACAGAGACCCTGATCGCTGCACCCCCGGAACTTCAACCAAAAATCGAGCAAGAAATTGCCTCTTTTTGCCCATCAGCCAAGGCCAACATTAGAAACCTAGGAGTTATTTTGTATCCAGCCTTAAGTTTAGACTCACACGTCAAAACTATCTCCCGCTCTTGTTTCTTTCAACTGAGAAACATTTCAAAAGTCTGTAAACTGGTTTCTACTGCAGATCTGGAAAAAATCATCCATGCCTTTGTGTCATCACGCTTAGACTACTGTAACGCTCTTTTTACTGGTCTCAGCAAAACCTCCCTCTCACGCCTTCAAGTCATCCAAAATGCAGCAGCCAGACTCCTAACCAAATCCAGCAGACGAGCTCACATCACCCCAGTTTTACAGTCCCTCCACTGGCTCCTGGTAGAATATAGAATTCAGTTTAAAGTTTTAGTCCTGACCTATAGAGCTCTTAACAACCAGGCTCCAAGCTACCTATCTGAGCTTTTATCCCCACACATCACCTCTCGGAACCTTAGATCCACATCTGAAAACCTCCTGGCTGTTCCTCGAACCAGACTGAAAACCAAAGGGGACAGGGCCTTTCAGACTATTGCACCCAGACTTTAGAACAGTCTACCTTCAAATCTCCGTCTCTCTAACACTGTAGAGGTCTTTAAAAATCATCTAAAAACTCACCTTTTCATCCAGGCATTCCCTCCCTAAATGTTTCAAAAAGATGGCTTTGTTTGGGTTCACACCTTCACTTTGTTTATACTCATGATTTCATTTTCTACTTTATCACTGCTATTATTTTTCTGATGTTTTTATTGGTTAGAGGTATTTGCCCTGATCTTTATCATGTTGTACAGCACTTTGTGATGTATATCTGTGAAAGGCGCTCTAAAAATAAACTTTTACTTACTTTAGCAGGTGATCTGTTGCCCGTTTAAAAAATTCTCTTAGTGTTCAAACGCCCCTACCTTTACCATCAGGCTCTGCATGATGATACAATGTTTGTTACCATGGAGATAACCAGTCATCCTTTATTCTCTTCATGAACATTCATAAAAACGTTGATTTTCTAAGAAAAATGTTGAAATCAACCTAGACATACCTCAGTATGTGACTTTGAGAAATAAAGAATTAAGCAAACCATTATTTTATATTCTACTGTAAATTAAATTAAAACATAGTTGACTGCAGCTTATTGATGTTTTTATCTTTATCAGGGACAACATGTGTGCTTATATTTATAATGGTTCTTTCAAATACCTAAATGCATTAGAAGAATGAAGAGTTAAAAATGCAGCAGCAAAATAAGAACCACATGAACAGAACTAAACACTTGATTAAGAAATGACTCAGGTGTATTTTTTAACAGGTCTTAATTTACATGGAGAGGTGTGGCCTAACACCTGAACTTGTTTCTCTAGACCAGAAAAGTTCTAGAGGTGGTTCTCTAGACCAGAAAAGTGTCATAGGGGTGGCCATGGGGCCAGAGAAAATTTCAGCATGCCCACATCTCCACACTTCTGTAATTGTTCAGAAATATTTCAATCATTTTCTTGTAGATAAGCTCCTATGAGGTATTTCTTTAGTAACTGATGTGGTTTGGAACTTGCTTTAAGAAGATATGCAACATTTTTCTGAACCAATATTAAATGGAGCTGATCTAAACCCAGCTCCGCCCTTCTAGTTTTGTTCTGGTTGGTGTGTGTATGTAGGGGATGTGTGATGCAGTAACTATGAGTTAAATACCAACTAAAACTGAGACTTTTTAAATTAGTTTTACCTCAGTTAAGCTCACACAAATTGTCCTTAGATATGTGCACTTTATTTAGATCCTGCTACATGACACATTCACCATTTAGCATCCATTTCAAAGTTCAAGTCAACAGATGTTCTGGCAGATGTTTGAACAGATCTAATCAGAGCAGAGTGCTAAAGAGGAAATGTAACTGATGGTAAACGACTGCATGTCATATTTAGTGGATACATCATGCATATAGTGTTTCTTAAATACCAATGACAATAAAAGATGCTGCTGCAGGATAACATGCAACACGTGAGAATACTATACTAAATATTTAACACCAATTCATTTATATTTCTAAAATACGTTTGTGTAACGCTACAGAAGCAGATCTGACCACTTCTCATACTGAAATAAATAAAAACAAATAAAAACTACGGTACATACAGAAACTTTGAAAGAAAACACAAACTGCCAACCAGGGCGTCACATTTTTAAATAAATAACATCAGAAGAAGTTTGTCTCAGGTCGTAAAACATTACATTCAGAAAAGAGGTTTAAAGGTCAGGTGGGCAGGAGCGGAGTGGATTAGCTCTGGTGTATCCAGCCAGGAGCTGCAGGTAATGGCCGTTTGACAGAGCGTTATCTTTAGCTTGACATGACGGCATTTCTCCGTGTTCAAATTCTAATCCATAATAATAACAGCGGCCTGGCAGGATAAGAGGATTACAGCTTCATTATCGCTGATGTGAAGTTATGGTTTCTGGGATCAGTGTCTCAGCTACTTTAATTACCATAAGCCTCTGGGACCGGACCGGACCGGACCGGACCACCCTGCTGCCTTACCACTGTGGCAGACGATAATCTGTGCACACCAACAGAATCGATTCTGACAAATTAAAACAACTATTTAAGGCCAGGAGTTGAAAAAGAACAAGTCGGTAATCTGCAGTCTAGAAAAAATAAAAAAACACAGGTTGAAGTGACAGAACTTCAATATTGCACTAAATCTCTAACTTATTACTTGGAACCAAGTAGAAGTGACTGAAGACGGACGAAAGAAAGTAAAAGTACTTTTCTGAGCACATTTTATCAAATGTGAGTTTTGTTCAATGTAGGACTTCAGTCGAACTATACAGGTTGGAATGTTTCCAAATCTTGATCCATAAAAATTGGATGATAAAAAGTATAAATAAATTAAAGTAAGTTTCCATTACAACCTTTTAAATATTTTCTTTAGTCTTTAAACAAAAACAACAGAGCAGCTCAAGAAAGGAGTCAACATCCAACTGAAATGTTAAACTAAAGATATAAAAATGGTTTAAAGAAAGAACATCTTTTATCATCATTATGCCCCCAATAAAATGTTTTAATTAAATAAAACAGTTTTAATTTGGGCTCACATAAAAATATGTGTACAAAATTTGTGATTGGGTCAAAAATGATAATATTAAATAATAATCATATAATTAAGAACACATTAGGGCCAGTTCAGAGGATTATACTTTTTCGTTTGAAATTTCTAAACATCACAAATGAGAATAAATTTGTTGCTTTGAGATTAACAGATTCAAAAATGGGAGGAGTCAGGTGTTTAACAAAGCACATCACATACAATTATACACAAAGTTTTTTGCAATTTATCACATTCGTTAAAATGTAATGTAAATAACTATCTCACAATATGCCTTTGTAAAAGATATGTTTAATTCCTTGGGGCCTGATACCTCATGGATGTGTGTTGGTCCTTGATCCAGTGGCTGGAGCTCCTCTAGCTTCACTTATTATTCTCATTAAAATTTTGACTAACATCCCCAAAACTGTCCTCTCTCGATTTAATTCTTTTTGTCTCACTGAGTGACCCAATCACATCAAAACAGAAACACAGCAACACAAATTGTGCAAAAATGTCGTTTGGAGACTAAGATGTAAGAGCTGACTCATCAGTGCTGCGTTTAAGAAAGAAATGATGGCAAATGTGTTTCATTCCAGCTCGTTCACACGCGTTACTAAAAGCTTTTACTCATCCTACTGGTTCTAAAGCTCTAGTGTTACAGCCGTTGTATGCTGAGACGCGTTGTGAATCAGAACCAGTTATACAGTTAGGGTTTCAAATGCTGCCACATGGGGTCACCCTTATGTTTGTAGTGTTGAAGAAATGATCAGAGAAAGACTAAAGTGGAACGTTTTCATTTAGCCTCTAATGCTGCCCTTACAGTACAGTACTTACAGAGAAAACAAAAGTCATTTTAATAACGGTAATAAAACAAGCCTGCTTGTCCATCTCCTTCATAATAAGCAGAAGAGAAAAATCTCATCCTCTCCACTGTTATGCCTTTCTGCAGCTAGTAAAGAAAGGGAAATGAGAGCTCATTACTTCTCTCTTAAGTCAGTTAAGCTACAAACTCTGACTTCTTCATCCTTTAAACGTTATTCGGGGAAAGGTTATTTTTCATCCTGTTCATCACAAACAGGAGAAACACTGTCATGGTTTTTTAAGTCCCTGTTGACTTCAATTAAAAAAAAAAGAAAAACAGCTGCCCCAGATCCTCTGGACTCCCCGTGGAGCCATGAGGGAAAACGAGTAGAGCTGGAGGCTAACCAGACCACCCCCGCTGTCGCCGGGTGAAGTTTCCAGTCTCCTGTTCGGCCACGAGGAGGTACACAGATTCACAGACTCACCCTGCTCCTTCAGGCTCCAAACAAACACAAGAAGGATCTGACTCCTTCAGCACTTCTAGAAGAGTCCATCCATCAAAGTATCTGACTCCTCCAGAGAAGGAGGCTCTTCCTAAAGCTTACAAGTAGTCAAAGCAAATCCCTCATCCTGGGTCTCATTTGTGGAGCTTCCAGTTCCTGAGGAGGTGAAGCTTCAAGGCTCGGAGGGTCAGAGAGCAGGCAGGCAGGTGGACAGGCTGGAGCAGCTCCCTAAAGGAGGAGGAGGGGGAGGAGGCCCCCACTGTGCTGTCACTCACCCAGACCTTCAGGCTCTCAGCTGCAGAGACACCAGAGGAGACATTAGGTTAAAAACCAATAGATGACAGTCACACTGATGCACCAGAGGTACGGGTACATAACTGAACTGTGTTAGTGGAGAGAAAGTCTCCGGTTTCACACGTGAGTCAGAAGCACCGCGTTTTGGTGAGATTCGTTTAAGAAAAGTCAGTTTGAGGCAGTGATGTTTGAGTGAAGAGCTGCTGAGTCACATACTGACATTTATAAACATCTGGACTCCAAAGTGTCCAGAAGGCAGCACCAACACTTCAGGTGAGTTTTCCTAAGTTGTGTTAGAAGCCGGTAAACTGCTCCTGCAGGGGAAGTGGCAACCTTCTGAGTACAAAAGGCAAACAAAGCAAACTCTGTTTACTTTGCTATTTCACCACTTAAAAAGTAAATTTAGAGTCATCTTATGAGCCGTGACTTTGAGAAGAGGTCATAGGAAGCAGTCTACAACAGGTGATGTAGTAAATAGTTATCATTTCTACACAGAAACATACTAATAATTTAACTCTTTCATCCTAAATGTCATGTCTGATGCATCTATTTTTGATTTTTAAGGCCCTGTCCACACGTAGCCGGGGATCTGCCAAAACGTAGATATTTTTCTACGTTTTGGCCTGTCATCCACACGAAAACGGAGTTTTTTCACACAAAAACGGATCTTTTCAAAAACTCCGGCCAAAGTGAAGATCTGCGTTTTCTCCGTTTTGGGTGTCTGCGTGTGGACAGACAAAACCGGAGTTTTAAGGTCCGCAACGTCACTTTCCACGACAAAAAAATGCTGACATCACGTGTGCGACCTGTGTTTACACTAGCCGGCATCATGGATGCCCTCGGAGCTGCGCTCGCTTTATCAATTGTCCAAGCGCTTTCTGCTTGTTTGTTTTTGCAAGTGGAATTACTGCTCCTTGCGGAAGACCACAGACGAAGGACGAGGTTAAGAACGGGGAAAGTACTGCCGCCTACAGGTCTGGCATGTCCTTAACAACGTATTTATCCGGGTACGTGTGGACAGAGTCTGTTTTTAAAACGAGGTGGTGTGGATGCAAGTTTTTGGAGGGGCGGATATTCGTTTTTTAAAAAAAAAACAGCTACGTGTGTACTAGGCCCAAGTGTTCTACCTAATTACAACTCTCCTCTTGTACTGAATTTACCCCTCAATTGTTACCTGTGCACACCTGCCCTTTATCAGACTTTCTGGACACCTGTTCCCTTTCTGCAATCATGTCCCAGTTCAATCAGTCAGTCAGATAGTCATGCTTGCTTTAAGGGTGTATTTGTACAAATGTTTATTCTTAATAGGAAATGTTTGAAGTGGACAAGCTTTTTATTAAGCCCTGCACTTTGGTTTCCAAGAGTCAAGGGGGCCAAAATATTGTTTGACTTTTCACTCTAGCCGTTCTGAGAGTGGACAGTCATTTGTAGCCATGGAATAAGCTCCGCCCAGTCAAGCCTTTGTACAAACGGGCTTGTGACATGTGTCAACTGCCCACCTGATTATAAATATGTGGCTCAAAATTTTCACTTTGTAAACTGTGACCAAGGCACTTTGTGTCAAAGTGTTTGTATGCACCTCTGATTAAACTATAGTGTACTCCAGCTTGTCTCGTTTTAGACTCCATGTCCTTCAGCTGTAGAGTACCTTCTGCATCAGTGTGGATCATGTTATATGTCCAAATGTTAAAGGGTTGCTTTGTCATTGTTTCTGTGTCTGAACTCTAACTCGTTTGGTTAATCACCACATTTGTTACGACTGGGACTTTATAAACCTCAGAGGATGAGTAGGAAGATTTCGATTTATGGATAAATGTGTGTCTAAATAATTAATTCCAGACATGATTCCTGTTTCAATTAACAAAGTCTTTAGAGTAAACATCAAGAACCACAAATAGATCAGTAGTATTTCTGGTCCTGCTGGACCTGACTGCAGCCTTTGACACTGCTGACCACCACCTGCTACTGGAGAGGCTGAGACTAAGGCCCTGTCCACACGTAGCCGGGGATCTGCCAAAACGTAGATATTTTTCTACGTTTTGGCCTGTCATCCACACGAAAACAGATCTTTTTAAAAACTCCGGCCAAAGTGAAGATCTGCGTTTTCTCTGTTTTGGGTGTCTGCGTGTGGACAGACAAAACCGGAATTTTAAGGTCCGCAACGTCACATTCCGCGACAAAAAAATGCTGACATCACGTGTGCGACCTGTGTTTACACTAGCCGACAGCATGGATGCCCTCAGAGCTGCGCTCGCTTTATCAACTGTCCAAGCGCTTTTTGCTTGTTTGTTTTTGCAAGCAGAATTACTGCTCCTTGCGGAAGACCACAGACGAAGGACGAGGTTAAGAACGGGGGAAGTACTGCCGCCTACAGGTCTGGCATGTCCTTAACAACGTATTTATCCGGGTAAGTGTGGACAGTTTTTTTTTTAAACGAGGTGGTGTGGATGCAAGTTTTTGGAGGGGTGGATATTCGTTTAAAAAAAAACGGCTACATGTGGACTAGGCCTGAGTAGACCTATCAGGATCTGCTCTGGAGTGGTTCTCTTATCTGTCTGAGCCAGGTGTCACCAACTCCATTCCTCTACTGCTACCATCCTGATAGTTTTCTGCGTTTCCTGCTCTACCACACTTGAATGGAGTAACTGAATCCTCTCCTTACCACGTTTAACTCTGCACAGGCCTGATAATTATAATCAGGTGTGTAGGAGCAAAGAAACAGCTAACACGTGCAAGATGGTAGCCCTCACTGATATGCTGGTGGAGGTTCTCAGTCATCCAGGTCATGGTAATCAAAAGGGTTCAAATGAAGGCAACTGGAACTGGTCTTCTTTGGTTTCTCTAAGATATTTCGCTTCTCATCTGAGGAGCTTTGTCAATTCTGACTGGAATATGGGAGAGTCAAGCTTACAAGCTGTAGCTGTCTGTTGATATTTAACGAGCCGAAACTACTGTGAGTACCCCGCTTCTCCATCCCCTGCTGAATTGTTGTGTTGATTAGATGCAGGAAGGTGTGACCTAGACTGAAACTGCTTAGGAATGCTGAAGTAACTCCAAGGAGGAGTTGGTGACCCCTGGTCTGAGCTCTGTGGCCATCTCCAAGTTTAGGTCCTCCACCCCCTCCCTCACCCATGGTGTCCCACAAGCTTCTGTTCTGGGGCCTCCAATGTTCTTTTATCTGCTTCCTCTTCAGCACATCCTGATGTATTTTAAAGGAATCTCCTACCATCTTCATGCAGATGACCTCCAACTGTACATCTCCTTTAAGCCCCATGAGATGTCTAAGCTGCAGCTGTCACACACCTGCTTAGACTCTATCAAAACCTGGATGGCTGGGAACTTTCTACAGCTGAATGAAGATAAGACTGAGATCCTCATCTGTGCCCCAGACAAGCTGGTTCCCAAAGTCAGAGACTCTCTTGGTCAGCTTGCTTCCCACACCAAACCTTCCGTCAGGAATCTTGGCGTGACCTTTGACCCAGCTCTCACACTGGATTCTCATGTCCATTCTCTTGTTCGCTCTTCCTTCTTCCATCTCAGGAACATTGCTAAGCTGAGTCCCATTCTGTCCCGCTGTGAACTTGAGACAGTTCTCCACACCTTCATCTCCTCACGCTTAGACTACTGTAACTCTCTTTTCACGTGTCTGAGCAGAACCTCCCTGAACCGTCTACAGGTGATTCAGAATGCCTGTGCTCGGCTTCTGACCAAGTCCTCCAAACACATCCACATCACCCCACTTCTCCTCCAGCTTCACTGGCTGCCAGCTAACTTCAGGGTTCATTTCAAGATCCTGGTTCTGGTCTATAGGGCCTTGCATGGACAAGCACCATCTTACATTGGTGATCTTCTTAGTCCCTACACCCCCAGCAGCTCCCTGAGGTCCAGTGATCAAAGCCTACTGGTTGTGCAGCGCACCAGGCTAAAGACCAAAGGTGACAGCCAGTTTCGTGGCAGCAGCTGTGCGTCTGAACCAAGTTTAAATCTTAAAAAGCTGCCTCAGACCACAAATACAACACAAAGAGAGCCTGGCTGAGAGCCTTCTGTGATGTTAGAGACAACATACGGTACCTCTGTTGCCTTTCCATGCACAGACAGCAGGCAAATGTGAGCCTCACTCCTGGAGCTGCTGTGGCCCCCAGACTCTAGAACTCCCTCCCCCTGAGCCTGAGATCAGTGGACTCAGTGGTCTCCTTTAAAAGGCAGCTGAAAACTCACTTGTCTTCATCACCACCCTCTCCTTATTCTGCTCTTTCTACCTATTCCACCTTTCCTGGGATCACCTTTCTTATTTCTTTTTCCCCTTTCTTCAAATTTTTTTTTCAATCACAATTTTTACTTTTCTTTACTATTTTTATGATTTCTTTGAATAATAAAAAAGTTTTACTTTAATTTTTTGTTCTTTTGAAGTGCCTCGTGATTTTTATATTGAGGTGCTATATAAAAGATCTTTTCTTCTTGTATCACGATCTACATATTTGTGAGATTATTTTTAGCTCAGGCTATTTGATGGATTTTGAAGTGGGGTATTTGTGTGAACACACACATTTTCCTGCAGTGGCAGAACAAAAAAAAAAAAAAAACCTGTAAAGCTTATGCCTGCATCTTAAATCGTGCTCCAGTAAACAGCACCACCCTCCTGCTGGGCAGGTTTACAGGTTATTGATGGTTTGTGTCGATGCTGGGATAATGTTTCACAGCAGTTTCGTGGCAGCAGCTGTGCGTCTGAACCAAGTTTAAATCTTAAAAAGCCGACTCAGACCACAAATACAACACAAAGAGAGCCTGGCTGTATTTTATCCTTCTGTGATGTTAGAGACAACATACGGTACCTCTGTTGCCTTTCCATGCACAGACAGCAGGCAAAGTGTGAGCCTCACTCCTGGAGCTCGGTCAGAGCCACACAGCATGCAGCTCGCTCCTCCTTACTCTGAGCAGGGCCGTCCACGCCAACGCCAGTCGTCATGCTGCGGCTTCGACTCGTCAGCTTTTTGAACTCGCTGGCGAACGAAATGACTTTCTTTTTGTCCTCCCGCACCTGACGGGAAACAAATCCATGGTGAACACAGATATTCACTTCAGAATGTGACCAGCCATGTGTTTAAGATTAATCTTCCTCTTCATTTAGCAAAAAGCACATTAACTGTATGATTTGTGCAGGTATTATTGACCAAACCACAACAAGCACAAATGGCAAAAATATTTAATCTTTATTCAGTCAGGCAGACATTTAGGCACTTTATTTCCACGGTTTCACAACAGATGTCCTCAGACGCAAAAGAATGTGGAATAAATGAATAAAAACACACAAAATCAATGGGAAAGTCACTAAAACAGACAGAGAACACCAGAGCAGCAGCGACAGGTGCCAGCATGTTAGTGCACACAAAACTGTCTGATTAAACACTTTTCTGCTGTTTGTGTTAACATTTAAATCTTTAAAAAGCGCATAAATAATGAATAAAGCACACGTCTCTAGTGCCGGAAGTGCTTGAGCATGCTTACAGCTACCTGCTCTTTGAGCCTAAGAATGAACTTTCCCACGCCCCGCCAGCGGCTCTGAGCTTGGTAGACACACTCGTGGTCCGGGAGAACCCTTTGTTGGGGCTTGGGAGAGGAGGACTTCTTGGAACCAGCGTCCCTGCTGACCTCCTCCACCAACACGTAGTCACAGGGATTGGGAGGGATACTGTAGGAATACTTGGCCTTCGACAAAGTCTGGCCAAAGAAATAGCAAAAAAAAAAAAAGAACAAAACAAGGGTTTTTTGAGTATAATGATCAATATTTGGTAACTTTTGCACAGATTTTAAAGCTAACACCAGCTTTTATTGCTTGTTAAATGACGTACCTGCTGTATGATGTCCTGAGCAGTGCTGTATCGGGGAGCTTTGATCACTGTGTGAGGCTGTTCTGGTGAAACTTCATGAACCTGGACTAAAAACACATCCTCCTCTCCTCCTCCTCCCCCTTCTCTACCTCCCACAGTCACCTCCTCTTCTGTCTCCAGGAATGTGTTTCTCTCATTTAGGTTCTGCACAGAACAGCAGAGTAAAACAACCACTAGAGGGCACCAGAGCACAACTTATAGGCCTTGCAGTGAGGAAAGGGAAGCTTCTGGAGGGTTTTTTTTTGTACCTCGTCTTTTGTTTTCAGGCAGAGCCTGCCTACGTATCCCTTCTCTGTGCTCCAGCTGCAGACGAGCCTCACCACCTCCTCTTCAGGAGCTATTGTTCGACACTGGGCACAACGCTTCACCTCGCTGCGTTCCTTCAGTAGGGGGACCTTCTCCTCACACAGGATGTACCCTGATGGGTTTCCAGCTGATGCTACAACCTGTGAGGAACACACACAATCAAATAAGACATAAAGAGACAAATGGGATATGATCAGTCTGTCTGGAGTACCGACCCTGTCCAGCAGCTGTCTGGCTGTGGTTTGCTCTGTTACAGAGTAAACAGTGAAGGGTTCTGGACCAGGAGCTGAGTGTACCGTCACTCTGTGCAGCTGCGAAGTGTGTTTCTCCTCCGAGCTGAACAGCTGGAGGTGAACAAAGCAGAGGGTTAGTATGCAACACCCTGACATGACATTTATTCTGTGCTAGATGTTCTCCTCAAACAGCATGGTGAAGCAAAAACCGGGCAGGGTTTGATGCTGCTGGCTGGGTCGGAGTGAAGTTGATCGCATTTTAAAGTTTAATGAGGACATGTCATTACGAGAGCTTTGAAGTTTTACAAGTGCACTTAAGTGATCAGACATTGTCAGGACCGCTGCTCTCTCAGCACCAGACCGGAGAGCGTCTTACCGAAGAGGAGGGAGTGGCACCCCCTGTGGGACCCTCTTCTGTTCTGTGGCTGTAGATAAATAAGCTGGAGACTTCAAGAGGCTCGTTGTGCTGCGTCCTCAACTGAACGTGTCTGAAACCTGAAACACGCCAAGAACAAAAAAACATAAACATCACGTTATTATTAACGAGGGATCCATCAGGTTAGCATTAGGGCTGGATCTAGGGGTCTCACCTGGTTTGAGGGCTTTCAGAAGCAGAGTTCTCTGAGCAGTGACCTGGGAGCTGTTGTTCTCCACCACAGCCAGACGCAGGAAACACATCTCTTCAAAATACACGCTGAAATGGAAGCGCTCGCTCCACATGGGGTTGAGGGTGTTGCGGTGGATGGGTTTGGTACGGAAGTGGCAGCTGTCCGCCAACATTCCCAGAACCTCTACCTCAATGCAGGGGCTGCCTGAGCTGTTCCCGGGACAGACGTTCTGGCCGGAAACAATCTGAGGGGGAAAAGAAGCAAAACAATGAATGTGAGAAAAAAAAGAGAAAGAAAACATCTTAAATGCTGATGTCTGACTCACAGTGAGAGAATACACGGCAGGGCTCATCTTCTCCAGATCTCTCTCATTGGGACAGAACTGCTGGTAAAGCGGACAGCTCCGGTCCCAGAGCACAGCGGGCTTCAGCACATAGCCGCAGCCGCCGTTGCTCTCAAACAGAGCTGTGTTCAGGTGCATGGGCAGGTCTGGGTCGCAGGAAAAGAACAGTTTTAGGAGACAGCATAAAACGGCAATGAGCTTCACTCGGAGGTAAAGCAAAGACAAGCATAATTTAGGTGTTTGGTTTTATAAATATATTATTTGTTGTGAAAATAAAAGCTGGACTCATTTGAGCTGAGTCATTTACAAACTAATCTCTGCACGCTGAGCCAAATAGTCTTTCTGGTAAACATGTTTTCTTTATATTACCAGTTAATTATCTTTCTGAATTGAAGGAAAAGAATCAAAACTTGATCTAGTTACTAGAGGTCCTTAATATGTGTAATTATTCTGCTAATTTCTTTTTAAATGCGTCTTTTCTACCATGTTTTCACTGATTTTATGTAGTAAAATGGTAAAAATAAATCATTCTATAGAGAGCAGTAGGAAGTCAGATGTCATGTTCCTGTTCAAATGAACTAGAAGGGTCCCTGCATGCCGCCCTCACCATCAGTTTGGTAGTTGAGCGCCACCAGCTGGATTCCATGCAGCCAGAAGAGCAGAGGGTTAGGGTTGGCCGAGTCGATCCTGGTGGCTGCTGGGTAAGTCCTGAGTAACTGGCACACGGTGTGTTGAATCAGCTTCTGAGAGTAGCGCCGGCACAGGCGCTTGGCGGCGTTCTCGTTTACAGACGAGATGTGGTAGCACTTCGGTGTGCGGATGATGGAGCTGAGCGACGTGGGGGGGGTGAGGACAGGTGATGTCTGTTGTTCTTCCCAGCTGTGTCGCTCTGAGCAACCTGAAGGCCAGATGAAAAATAAAAACCCAAGCTTTCCCATTTATGCATGAAGTGAGTTTTCTTTCTAAATGATCCAGGATCAGTTTGTGCGTAGATGTACTGAAACACACTTTTTCATGAGGAGGTTATGTGTGTGTTTTTTTTTCTTCTCTTTTCTTATAATTTCTTTAAGCACACACACACACACACATACACACACACACACACACACACTTGCTCACCTTTCCCTGAAGCTCGGCTCTGAGTCATCACCTCCCCTGTGGCGGTGATGCGAGCGGGAGCTGTACCAAATATGGACTTCCTGCTCTTTCCTCTGTCCTTTCCTCTACCAGAACAAGCTGGAGACAACGTAGAGAGACCTGGGTTCCCACACACAGGAGAAAAGCAGAAAAAAAATTAAATTTTTTGGGAACTTGTCACTCTTAATGAAAACCCTGGCGTTACATTTGTAATCCCAGTCGGTTCAGATAATGGGCCTCAAAGAAACTTCCCTCCTCACAAGAGGAGTATTTTAACCTATAATGAGATCTTCATTAATGTGACCCAGATGCCCCTCCCTTCAGATAGTCCCAAAGGAGCGGATGTTGTGAAACCGTCAAGGAATCAGCTTCAGAACTGAACTGTAGGCTTTGGATCATTAGATCAGGATGGCTTCTTTCACTCCTCTCTCACACCATTGGTCTTCTTTGTCCAAAAAAATAAAACATTCCTGTCCTCTAGAGAGTCCCTCATCCTTAAGATTCAAGTGGACAGCAGAATCTTGACCTCTGGACCCTGACATGTTTTTATTTTTGGGTGTCTCTTCAGATCAGAGACGCCTTCCACGCACCAGGATTCACCACAGCCTGGACGACTAAGAGCCCTCACCAGCATTTATCTGGCATCTACTCTTGTGATACCTTCCACTCGCCAAAGCTAATCTCCAGTTAAAGACACAAACATTTGACATATCTGTCCCTTTCTAACAGAAATATAACAACAGTATCTCTGTGATCATTTAAAAGCCATGCACATGGGTTTTGCTCTTAGCTCACACACAAAAACTGACCCTCCTCTTCCTCAAAGCTCATTCTATGGCAACTGTTAAATAAATAATGCATAAATAAGGAAACACATGCGGGTTTATAAAGGCACGCTCCGTTTAAAGAAACCAAGAGACAAACGGACAAAAGAGGACGCTTTAGGGAGGGACAAGCTGATAAGAGACAAAAATGGAAATATTTGAGCAGTTGCTATGACTCAAGGAATGAAGACATATTCCTCTGAAGATGATGAAAGAGACACGAAGAGCTCTGGACTGGTGGACTGAGAGCACACTCAAGGATTGCTAGTCCAACTCTTATGTCTGAAAGTGGGTGCAAGTGGAGGATGACATCCCATAAAAGTCTAAGCTCCAATACGCACCAGAAGGATGACATTACATGTACAGCAAGTCTCTGTTAACTGGGGGCTTTACAAAGAGAAAACAGCTGATCAGGAGCATAGATTAACTATACCGGGGAATTTCACTGCCTGGCAGTAGATGATGAGATCGGAAAGCTCCTGAGCAATCTGCCGGCTCTCCTTCTTGTTCTGAGGGAGATAAAAGGCTTCGCCCAGCTCCATGTCAAACACCTACAGGAGACAGCAAACACTGAGCTTCAGAGATGTTTCAGGTGAAGTACAGTGGCATGCTGACCCTTCACTTTTAGGATCCTACCTTTCCTTTGCTCTGGATCATGGCGTCAGCCTTTTTCATCCTCTTGGGTATGTCATCAGCAGGCTGCTCTTCTCTGTCTGCTGGGCTCTTATCGGGCTTGTCGTCCAGGATGTTGTCTGTGAAACAAAAATCACCATTTTTACGACAGATCCCCTTCAGTCGACCTCAACAGAGCCCGTTTACAGACGTGGGAATCAACACATGCAGAATAGCATCTTGACAGCTTTAAAATAAAGGTGGAACAAGAATTTTAAAAAGCAACTTTGTTTTGCTTCAAATCTCAATAAATTAGGAAAGAAAACATTATTTAGAGGTTTTTCACTTCCTGTTGCCCGCTCCTCTGTTTAGTATTTGTTTCATTTTGGAATAAAATGTTGCAACCAATTAGGAGACTCACTCAGAAATGAGGAAAAAAAAAGTGTGTTTTATCTTTCTTAATAACCTTATAAGTACGTGAGACTAAAAGCCCCTTTCCCTTTCACTGATGTGTCTCTACAGTTGGGAGCTCTCCACAGGAATCAAGTCAAAACCACCGAAAAGTATCAGCGTGAAGTCCTGGAGGCGCATTATCTGTGGAGTCACAGCTGGATAGGAGACACTTGGACTCATCTTTAAACGAGGGTTCAGAGGGAGATCTGACCTTTGGTGTCTTACTGCAGACAGAGGAGGAAGGTCTGGAAGGAGCTACTATTCTACCATCAATCTGTCAGCGATGAACTCAAGACGTTAATGCTCCAACACAAGTCCTGACAAGCAGCAGGGTATAGAGGTAGAAAAACAAGTTGTTTTGTTTTCTTTTTAAAGGTCCAGGACCAGGAAGATCTTCAGCCGGAGGGCAGGAGAGGCCAAGGCTGGGACTGGGACCAGGACAGGGTAGTTTCCCCCTGCTCTGCTGTTTGGTGCAGGGGCAGCGAGGGCCTGAGAAACCAGATGGCTTTGTTTTGTTTCCCTGATGAGCCTGCCCAGTCACTGGCGAGGTCACAGACAAACACAGGACAGGGGGGGGGGGGGCTTTGTGGGAGGAAGAAAAAATGTACAGCTGATTGTTTTAAAGCAGGCTGAATGTCACTTTTTATCTCACAACGTTTGTTATTTAGAAACATTTGTTTAGAGAGAACTCATAAATCTACACGTTAGGTTCTCATGACTGTTGTTTTTATTCGTTTACCAGATGCTTTAATCCATAAGAGTTTTAACCTGGCATGCATGTTTTTGGTCTGTGGGAGGAAATCCATGCATGCACGGAGAGAACATGCTAACTCCACACAGCTGTGATCAGAACCTGCAACCTCCTTGCTGAAAGGCAGGCCCGGTGTGTTTCCGCTGAAAGGTGGCTCCAAGGGGCATTTCACGCAAAGAGTTCAAACAAAAAAAACATTAAACTCATGTACAGTCTGCAGAACGTGCATCAGGCTTGTCTAAATGCAGCATTCTTAGAGAAGCAGGTCTAAAGTGAGATCAATCTGAAAAATGACGGCACTTAACCATTAATGTTTCAAGTAAATGAGTGACAGAACTAATCAGGGCTGCACTGTGGAAAAACATGCAATTTCATCACCACCATTGGTTATTGTAATGGTATGAGGACGGGTGACGCCGTATTTTCCTCCCTTTGTGGTGACGAGGCTCACAACACTCCAGCCATTCTGCTACTATCATATTACCATATAGCTTTTACGACAGCAAGGGTCCATTTGTTTGGCACAAAGTTCGTGTCTGAGATCTATTGCAGTCCTTTGTTCACTGATATTTTGAATTCATGATACATATTTAATAAATTGTGCAGCCAAAGAACAAATACACAAAACACACACACTCCTAATGTGACAGAGTTAACGAAACAAAAGCAACTGGACCCAAAAGGCTGGCTTGTCGAACAATCCCATGAGCCACTTCTCCATCATCTGGCTCATTATCATATGATGAATGCTACAGGCATGTGACATTAACCTATTAATGTGATTGTGCCACAGTGATGTAAGCCTGGAACCCAACCCAAGACCAGAACAGAAGAAGCCTATTGTTTGGGAGATGAAATGTTGCCTTTTTAACTCTCGAGGTTGCCGTGCTCCAGAAGAATGAGACCCTACATCACAACGATGTAAAGCTACAAACAATTTAATTTCTGTACCACTGTTTAACAGACATGCTGCTCATTGGGAGGTTTTGTTGCATGACTTAAACCCATCAGAGTCACTTTTTTATTTCTGTCAAACATTAAAAGTTACACAAAACGACTCAGTCTCAAATGACGTCACGACAAAAGGTTTTAGAGTGTTGGTTTCAACAGAGTTTGCCGATTCAGTGTACTTGGATCCTTCAGTTAGATGTTTCTACAGTTTACTGTAGCAAACCATCACATCTCACACTGGCAGGCTGTCAATGAATTTATGGACCCAACTGTAGTTGGATGGTCGAGAGGAGTTCCTCTGGGAGGATATCTGGGTACCATTCATGGCTGTTCTGATGCTAAACTGTGAGTTCATCCACTCCCCTGATGGTAGCATCTTCTGTTCTCCAGGCAATCATTTTCTCAGATGCCCAAACAATCAGAAATGGCATTCAACAGAGAAAATGACAGCAGCCTAGTCATCAGCAATATTTGGCATATTTGCCAGGCCATCGTCCATAAGTCTCCTCACTGAGCAGATACACTCACACCCGCACTGGTGGTGCCCTGGGCCCACTGCTGGGTCAGCTTGAGAAGATGGTCCTGGACTTTCTTGGGTATCCTGAAACCTTAATAATGGAAATGCTTTTTGTGGGGGATTTTGCTATTTCGTGACAAAGAAGGACTTTATGTGAATTGCCAACATAAGAAACTGAGGCTGTAAGCTCTGAGAAACTCGCCACTGTAAAAACGTTTGACCATGACTGTTGATGGTTCCCATGCAACATAACTACATACAACTTCAAAAACCATAGAACAGGCATTTGATACAGCAACAATCACTAATGCACATCTTCATGCCAATGTTTTCTCTGTAGTTATTTTCAGGTCAGTTTGGAGCAACAAAGCTCTTTGAAACAAACTAGAACTGCAGGATCAATATCTTGGTTTTGTGTTTTATGCAGCCAACAGGTAAAGAGGAAACACTGGCACTCAGGAGAGGTACACCAGGGCTTTACCTTCAAGGCCATACGAGGCAGTGGAGGCTGTGAGGACATCGGCTAATTGGAAAACAGGCAAGGAAAAAAGAAAACGAATCAAGAGTCAACACAAAAAGAAACGTAAGTGTTAAATAAAGGAGAAATGGAGTACAGTTGTGAAAGGGATTCAAAGGTGACAAAGTTCACTGAAATCAACTAGAGCTTTAGTTTATCAGTCTCAAACCCTAAAGCATGTCCCAGTTATCCTTACCATCTGACAGAGACTCATAGTCGTAGTCATATTCATCCTCTTCTTCCTCCTCCTCCTCATTAGCATGGTTGCTAGGTGAAGAAACTCCTGGGGAACCGTTGCTCGCCTGGACATGCATGTGCGCCAACTGGTGAGCCTAAAAAAGTTAAGAATCTATTTGAATGATGTCAGCAGAATGGTCTATACCTTAGACAGAGAGCGTACAGAGCTGAATAAGGTTGCAATGGAGGAAACACTGTGCACAATCTATTATTAATGGTGAACAGCACTTTGACATTGCTAAATATATGACAGTGCACTTTACAGTAGCTTGTCGGATGTCTAAATTATGCACGTGGTGAAGCACACCGATGCACGGCGTTCATCCCAACCTTCTGTTTGAGGATGTCCACTGGTGCCTGATGAGCTTTGAGCTTCTTGTTCTTGAGGAGGATCTTCCCACGCAGCTGCAGCGGCGAAGGCAGGTGAGGGTCATCGCTGAAGTCGCTTTCAAAAAGAAAGCGTGTCACAAGACGCTCTCCGAACACCGACTGAAGATAAAAGAAGTTTAAACGTGACGGATGACATCACTAAAAACTCATCTGCATGACAAGTGCCACGTTAAAGAAGAAACCTGAGGAAAAACCTCATTCCTGAAAGCTGGAGGACAATTCCCCAACGAGAGAAAAATGAAAGTGCTTTTTATCAATTCAAAACACTTCAAATAAACAAGACCATGGTGGAGTAAGCTACCCAGGGGCACAGAGCTGTCTGAACTTAAAAGACTCGTGTTTATCAAGTTGCTCAGAGGTCTGTCTCCGGGGAGGATGAAATGCTGGGAAGTTTCAGATGAAAGCAGGACGATATTCCAGGATGGAGTTTTTCTGCCTAGACATGCATGGCCCTGATTACTCAAGTGAAATTTAAAAGAAAAGCAAGAAGCAGCCAGTCATCGACTGAAGAACTAAAAAGATGTAGTGTAAACACATACGTGGTGTCAGAATGCGACACAGGCCCGTCCTACCTTAAAGATTTCAGCCATCTTTCGCTGCTGCAGGAGAGAGCAATGGTTCTCTATGGACAGTATAACCGGCATGTCAGAGCTGACAAACGCAGACCGGTTAATGGCTTCCACCACATCCTGGAGGATGAAGGGAAAGTAAAAAGTCTCATAATCAGCCCTATGTGACAATAAACCAGTACAGATGAAAAGCCCTTAGAGTTTAGCTGCTGATTTGACACAGGTTTTACAAAAAACTACTCAAATGCACAAAGGGAATAATAAAACGTGATTCTGAATGGCAAACAGCTGGTGAATTTAATCCCCTTCATGTGTTTCAGAGAATCCCGATTTTAGCGCCTCGTGATTTTTATCTTGAGGCGCTATTAAAAAAAACAAAACGTTTTCTTTCTTTCAGCCTGGATTTTCCAGCTCAATCTGCAGGAAAACAGCCGAGTTGTCTTTCACTTATTCAACCACTTATAGGCATTTTCTCACCTTAAAGGGAATCTTTGTGGTGAGAGTGTGTCCGTGGTAAATGATCGGCATGCCGTCGTCTCCATCCCAGCAGTCCAACTCAACACTCCTGCAGCCTTGAAGCAGCACCTACAGGACACGTTTATGAATAAATACGAGCAGCTTCAGCTTAAAGAAGGACTCAGAATCTTACTTACGTGACTATAAAGCTCAACAGAGGACTCTCCTTTGAGCTGGTGTCCAGTCAAGTAGGTGTTGTGTGAGGACTCAATGTAGTAGTACGACAGAGGGTACTGCAGCTCATCCGGATCCATCTGGGATTCCTCATTACGGGAGGCAAAGTTGTCCTTGTCCATTAGGAACCTGGGACAGACACGAGGAAAGCATCTCTAAGGGATTCAACACAAAGCTGCATTCTGTAAGGCACGCTAAACTCGTCAATGTTGTGATTTAGTAAGGACTTGGTGAACAACCTGTACACAAGTTGATTTTATGCTTTTATTTGATGGATGAAAATGACTGGATGTAAATCTGCAGATATCGACATATGTTTTAGATTTGATCAACATCATTTACCAAATAAATGTAAAATTCTGGCATAAAACGCAGCAAGGAAGCCTTTGATTTAGAAATATGATTTATTATACCTCGCAAAACCCTCGAATGACATCCATCCCATTTGTCTCATTGGAGATGAAGGCTCAAATTTCTGCAAGAGAAAAATAAATAGTCGTGGGGGATGAAATGTCTCCTTTCTTATCCATAAAAGGATGCTGAATCTGAACCCCGCGAGATAACCTCCATCACCTGTATAACGCTGAGAATCTCGTCGTAGCTCAGGTGCTCTCTCTGACAGTTGACTAAAAAGTCATTCAGCTGAGGGATGGCCAATCCCAAGACGCCTAGCGAGACGTTCTCCACCCCCGTGCCGTTGGTCACAATGCTTGCCGCTGCGATCGCATCAGAAATCTGCTTTTGGTTGTCAGACATTTGCTGCCTCGTCCGGATAAACAGGCCGAGATCAGAGCCGTTACGGGTCAGTAAGTCTGAAAACATGACGGGAAGATTAGGAGGGAAGACGCAGCGTGTGTGACAGAGTGACGTTTGTGTATCAGCTGCTTTACCGAGGTCTGGCTGCAGTCCCGTGTCCTTGTCATCTATCCTGAGGTTGGTGTAAAGGGGGGATGATTCTGGACACGAGCGACTGCAGGGGACAGCGAAGGTGTCAAACAGTTCCTTCAGGTCCTTCCTGCTTCGGATGCTGTTGACAAAATAATGGCATGAATTCAGTTTAGTTATGAAAACCACACACTGAAAACACTTCCATCTATTCATCAACAGTCATTTGGATTCAGAAACTTGTTAGGAAAGAAGTATTGGTGCAACAGCAGAGACACAAAGAGGCTGGGCAGCAGATGAGAGAGTCCATCACAATCTAAGAAATGTAGAAGGATTCCTGCAAGGAACGTTTACCACGGCTCAACCTGTTCCCCGTTTTCACTTGGAAGTTCAAATGTAGACAAGTTAAATAATAGGCAGACAAGAATCCTCCGAGAATGTTTTAAACGCGATAACCACATCAGGCTTCTGTTGAGTTTACTCTAGCGTACTGTACTTAAGGTGCTTTAGATAAGAATGAGTCAGTTATATAACGGGGGTGAGGGTCAGAAAGTGCACGGTACATGAAGACTGAACATTAATAACACGAGCTAAAGTGGGGCTGCGTTACACAAAACACACAGAGAGTGTGTTTATTCACACTCTGTCTTATGTCAGACAACTAAAGTGTAGATGAAGTTTGACCTGAATGACTTGAAAAGCTCGACGAACTCGACGAAGCTCATCGTGCTGTCGGACACCATGAGGTTCTGGAAGCCTCTGAAGCAGCCTTTCCCACGGCCGTGCCACGAGCGGCTGCTCCACGCTCTGCAGCGCACCCAAAAACAAAATCCATCAGTCTTTAAAACGGATATCGGGGGGATGTTGTTGTTTTTACACATACCCTGGCTGCGACTTGGAGGTTCCTGAAAGGATTGGAGATGATTGTGGACGGGAGTGGTTGGACCCAGTCATGCTGGAGGAAGAGGAGGATGATGATGAAGAGGCTAGCAGCCCCGGGCCTTTGCTGGATAAGAGAGGGAATGGTCCAGGGGAGATGTCATCTATGGAGGTGCAGAAAACATCAAAGTCAGTGAGGTGGGAGATAGCCTCTGTGTGTGTTTGCCTGTCAGCAGAACGTTTCATTTTGCTTGATTCTACTTCATTGTTTCGGTTTGTTCTGTCTGGATTTGAAGCATATGAATCTCACCTGGATCTTCCTGGTCGATGCTGTCGGACTCTGGACCGTTCCTAAGTAAGCCTTCCTTACAGCTCCGAGTTTTCCTGGAAACCATCTCATCATCAGTGCAATCCCCACTGTCGCCCTGAGTTGGGAGCACAAACGACAGAAACAAGTTACTCGTCGTTGCTACGTTTACAAATCAGATCCACGTGCTCAGATAAAGAAGCCACGGGCCACACGCAGACACGGACCCTGACCAGAGGTTTCTTCTTCTTCTTGGACTTGTCGTTGACGCTGTTTTTCTGGGTGCCTTGTTTCTCTGCAGCACCGGTCCCCATGTTCCACCTTCGCCCTCCAAACAGCTCAATAGCCTGAGCTAATGTGGGGCCTTCATACCTGCCATCCTCCTGCACACACAGAAGATAACATCAGCAGGGAGACCGGTTAAAGGATTTAGCTCCAGGTTCTTTTTTCTAAGTAAATATTTCTCCAACATCTTTCCCTGGGGCAAAAATAATTAGACACAAACAGACTTTCTGGAGGGAAATGAGATTCAAAGATAAAAGAAAACAAAAGCCAAAGGATATTTGTTTTAAAAAAGATACACAACACAACTGAATATAGGTTTTATTCTGATGCAATAATGAGAATTTAAAATGCAGAACGCATCCTGTGAAGTCAGTTATAGCCTAACCTGACAGGCCTCACGGCGGCTCGTTTACGTCTACACTCCTCTGAATAATGAAGTTAGAGAGCACGCATCTGTTCATGCTTTCATTAAAAGAATGAAATTATTCTGTGAGCTTACCTGATACATGGTGACGTACTGCTTCCTCAGCCACCGAAGCCTTTGATCGGGAAACATTTTCATCTTCCTGGTTGCGTTCACCAATGCCGACAGGCCTTTGTGAAGCATCCGTGCCGTCTGATTGGGTGCCACAAAGTGCAGCAGTCTATCAGGGTGGATTAGCATGTTAGTCCCAATATTTAGGCTTTGGTGGCACCTCAAGGAGAGCCGCTCACCTGTTATCAGTGGTGCCGAGGCCGTAGAGGAGTGTTAGACCATTCTCCTCAACTGTCATGTGACTCAGCTTGTTTTGCAAACACACAGCGTGGATGTCGATGCTCCGATGACCCAAAAACACAGCCTGTAGATCCAAACAAACACCAAATCACCATCTAGCTGTGAAAAATCACGCTGCTGCACAAAGTCAAAGCTCCATTTTTAACAAACCTTCACCACTCCGAGGTCCAACAGGCCTTCTGCCAAACCCGGCGCTACATTCTGTCCCACTGGCTGTTCTGAGGAGGAAGCCCCTCCGCTTTGGGGCTTACCTGACAAATATAAACACACGATGATGGAAGTCTGGTACTGAGAGGAAATTGAGAAAGTAAGATACAGAATTACAGCTTTTTAATATGATCTATGTAATAAAAGACATGGTACATACGGTGCATATAAACACACAGAGTCCATTTAAAACAAAATGGCACAGGAAATTATATTTTTCACATTATAGATGTCTGAGTTATTTTTGTTTAAAGAACAATAAGATGACAGGAAATGGACTGTGTGTGCTTAGCCCATAAACTAGTCAGTGTGTTTAAAATGTGACAAAAGAAAATGTTTTCAGGTTTTTCAGGATTAATTCATCCAGACAGAGGCATCCACCGTGCGAATGAAAGATGCAGATGAGGAAAATCTTCCAAAAACAGACAGGATTGGCTCGTAGCTTAAATATTTACTACTGTGGAACAGCAACGTAAATACAGGTGAAAGTAAAAAAAAACTGAATCTGGTACAAAAGTTCATTATGTCAGTAATTCTACTTAAAAGGTGAAACTAATACAGGAGGCAGACTGATTCCATGCAAAGCCAGATGCCTGAAGCCTTTACTTGTTATAATTGTGATGATTATGTTTACAGCTGATGAAAACCCCACATTCAAAATCTCAGACTATTAGAATATTGTGGAAAGGTTCAATATTCTAGACTCAAAGTGTCACACTCTAATCAGCTAATGAATCCAGAACACCTGCAAAGGGTTTCTGAGCCTTTAGATGGTCTCTCAGTCTAAGCTGGATCACTGACACAAATGAACTTTTGCACGTTATTCTCATTTGTCCAGTTTCAGCTGTAGGCGCAGCTTCTTGTGCAGCGATCAGCCTTACCCCAGGTGAGGGTTATGTTGTCAGACTGTAGCCGCAGCAGACACCGAGCTGTGAGGTGGCTGTCCTGGTCGTAATGAATGACCGTAGCTCCCTGCAGCAGGAACTGGTGAACATCTGGTTGTAGTGACAAAACATACCTGGAATAAAAGGGTGAAGTTTCGTCTGTTAAAATGCAACACTGCTCATTTATTTGAGGCAATTAATACCAACCAAGGAATGAGCTCTGTGCCATGGCTGAAAGCCATGTGCGTCTCCTCAGTACCCTGAAACTCCACGTCTTTAACAGCCGGCTCAGTCGGCAGGTCGCCGTCTGAGTCCGACAAGTCCCCAATGGTGAATCTGTGGGGACACAAAGGTTGCAGAGATCCGGCTTTATATTCATCTGCTTAAAGAAAGTGTGTTACTGTGTTGCTTATAGGGTGCAAAGAGTCAAAATCAAAATGTTAATGGCATTTGAAGTCAGCCAAGTGCCAAAAAGCTGCACTCTGTTCAGCCGTTAAGACGAGCAACAAAGCAGCAAGCAGCTGTTGTTTCTTCACTACTAAACCAAAAAGCTCAAGTTAAAACCCTTGCAACGACCACTTACAAAACATGGCTCGATTCTGCCGGTGTCCTACATGAATACGAACTAGAACATGAAAGAAAGTGGAGAGGAAGCGTGAGAGGACAACAGAAGAAGTTTTGGCAGTCATCTGGGGTGAAGAAGTGAAGTGATCACAGGAAATGAAGTCATAAACTGCTTAGAGTCAGGTGGTATTTATCTGCGATGTAGCCCAAACCTATTAAAGCTGCTAGCTGAGCCAAAATCAAGTAGAGCTCGATTATAAAACAGGCAGAGAAAATTATCTATTTTATACAAACGTAACAAATCAAAGCTACAATTAAACGAGTTTTGAACACTCTCCAAACGCTGCTACCTGCCACCAGTAAACGGAGACGTCCCAGAGCTCTGTTCCTTCCTGCTCTGACAGGAAACACGCCTGTTATCTCTTTTTCTTTATGACACTGTTTTTTATGTGAATACCAGTTCTTCTAAATAACAATCTGCAAATGTGTTCCTTTCCCAGTAATCTTGTGCTGCTGTTTATCTAGTATAAATAAGCTCAAATGAGATTATAGCCGTGACTATTATGAACGGTGTTTGGTTTTCTAACGTACAAAATGTTGGAAGTAGACGTAATGTTTCCACTCAACCCAACAACCCTCACTCTGCTGGGCTGAGTGTCATTTTAATCATGTCTTTCTTACACTTTTTAGCCTCTTGGAGAACGCTTCGCCCAAGTCTCAGAGCTAAGTAGCTGACCAGCCATGCCAATCACTCCCAGGATGGCCGTATTTATAGTTCTGATATAAATCTGTAAGCAGCATTGTTTTGTTCTTTTATTACTTTGCTCATGAGTCATTGAGTGTGCCTTAAAAAGAAAGTGGGAAACTTGATTTTGGAAACAAAAAGAACAATGGTTGGCAATTCCCAAAAGTATTCAGAAAATCATTTTGAAAAGCCACAGCTCTGTTTAAAGGAGGAGAGATGCCAAGTTTCTCCCATGCGACGTACGTTTTAAAACATTTTTTTTACTAAAAACATATAAATAATTAGTGAGACATCAAGTCTCATGTCTAAAGAGTAGAAAAACCAATTAACTGATTGCGACAGCGGTTCCTTAAGGAGTTGCATCTGAACGCGAGGGATGGACAGGTAGAAGGACTGGTGGACATTTCATCAACCTCCTCTGACTCCAGACTACGATTACAAGACCTGAGGAGCAGGAAGAACACTGGTCAGTGAGATAAACGGCACGAAGACGAGAACAGTATGACGGTATGCTCTGAAAGGTGCCGCCCACCTGATGATCTGCAAGATGCTACTGACAGTAGCTTCTTTCTCTGGGATGTGCAGCCCGTCTGGACCAGACCGGGACACGAAACTGTGCTGGCCGCTGTAGTCGGACACAAACTGGACACACAGAGCCAACAGCTGTGACACCCGTTTGTGTGAGTTACCTTTTTGTTTAGATGACTTGCTGTACCTCTATGGAGTCGTCAGAGTTTTCTGGAGGCTGTTTGAGGCTGATGATGCTTGCTGTGCCATCCAAAGCATCACTCAGCTCTTTCAGAAAAACCCCACAGAACGGCACCACCTGTAAAATAACCCGGAATGAAGGTGGCAACAACAACAACAACAACAGCATGATGGCCCAACATCAGACCAGTGAAATAAGTGGGTAAACATATGGGCCTTCAAAAATATTCACATTAATTTGCAATAGCTTTAATTGGTTTAAATGCATTTATTCTACTTGTAGGCGCACACATTAAGTTTATTGTATTTTTATCATTTCATTTCCATCGTTTGTTGTGATTAATGTGACATTCTTTGTTTTCTCGTACCGGTCCATTCGCCTGCTGTGATCACTGGGAGTGGCCCAACCAAACATGGTGGCCAGGGCTCCAAGCAGTTAAATACCTGCAGCTAATTGGACTGCACCACTAGTTCCTGCTGGAGAGGGGAACTTTGTGTTTGCTGGAGTTAAACTGTCTTTTGTTGTTTTGATTAGGTAATTGTATTTAAATGTAGTAAATATTGACTTTTCCTTTTGATGTTCAGTTTATCAGACTGCACCGTGCTTGTGTTTAGTTGGTGTTGTATCATTTAACCCTTTGATGCATGAATTATGAAATCTTCAACCATGATTTTTTAAACAATTTTTTTCATTCATCTTTAGGTGTGAATGAAACAAATTTCAACAAATATTTTTTGTAACATTTTGTTAATTTACAAATAATTTATTACATGTCCAGCTCAGGGGACAATGTGCATTCTGAACATGAAATATGGTGGCTTGACTTCCTGAAGCCCAAATGGAGGGGCTCACATGCAATAAAGTCTTCAACAGCTGTGCTTAATAGCAAAAATAAGTAAACAACAATTTTGAGTACCTTTCCACTGTAGTGACCATTATGCATCAAAGGGTTAATTTACCCCTGTTGTTTATTGGTCCCATCAGCAGGGACGAAACTTTGATTTCAGAAGTGGGGGGGACACAGCAGGCTTGTGCGGATTTGGGGTGGGGGGTGTTATGTAAAGACCCCTTGACACGTCATGTGCCCATCTCAATAATTTTTCCATTCTCTCTCTCTCTCTCTCTCTCTCTCTCTCTCTCTCTCTCTCTCTCTCTCTCTCTCTCTCTCTCTCTCTCTCTCTCTCTCTCTCTCTCTCTCTCTCTCATATATATATATATATATATATATATATATATATATATATATATATGTCAAAGTTAAAAAATGTACAACTCTATTATTATTTTTATTTATTATCATTATTGAAGTGCAGTTTTGGCTGTTGACAATGGACAGGCTATTGTATTTATTGTTTTGGGTCTTTTTTTTATTGTTTTTGGTGCAACATTTTCTAACAGGGAGTGAGATTCCTTTTTTATTAAATTTTTGTTTGTTATTTTTATTCATTTAGAAGTTCTGGTTCTGGACATTTCAATGTTAAATGAAGGTTTATTTGTTGCATTTTAAAGGGTGTACTTGCATTATTATGATATATTAACATTATATTAGTGGTTATTTTGGTCTAGATAATGTTGACAATGATATCGTTTATCATCAACAATTTGTTGGACAAAATATCGTCCAGCAAAATGTGTTACTTTCCCAGGCCTAGTCAAAAGTATAAAAATTATTTATACATAAACGGTCCCTCCTGAGATCTGGCCGTTTGTTCATTTGCTGTGTTAGAGGACATGCTGAACTAATGTTTTACACATGATCATCACCCTAACATTTGAGTGTATAAAAACATATTAAATATGTTTTTTTCCCTTAAAAGTGTTTAAACAGTTGTTGCATTTCAACACACAAAAAATAAATGGAAAAAATAAGATAAATCTAATGAAAAGTGTACATCTTTGACATTAAGCTTAAAAAATCTGTTGACGATGATGATACTGTTCATTTTTCAGAGCTTTTTAATGTGAAAATATACATTGCAATAGATAAGTTTACAATAAAGTTAAATGATAAAAGTTTTGAAGTTACACTTCTACTACTACTACTACTACTAGTAGTAATAATAATTATGATGATAATAGTAATAAAAAAATAATTATTATAATAATACGAATAAATTGTGTCTGAGGAGTCAGTTATGTGGAGGAGATGAGTTTGTAAAAGTTAGTTTTGAGTATGTTTGTGAAGGAGGAGGTGAGTCTGAGCTTAATGCAGGGGTGTCACATGTTCCAACTTACGTTTTGACTTTGAAAGAAGTCTCTTATATCCACTTTTCATTTTCTTGACATGCTGCCTCCTGGCTGTGCCTAACTACCAAAGACTCACAAATGAACACTTATTCAAATGTTATGTAATGGAAGCTGAGCTGAGCTCTGATATTACACAGCGTCTAGTTGACGGTGACTCAGTACCGGTGTTCCCTAGCGGCTCCAAACTAGCAAAACAACGTGAGCACGTTCTGACTGTTTACAACTTGAGTGACAGCAGCAACAGCCAATAATACGTTAGCAAGTATCAGCAGAGCCAATAGATTAGCTTTTGGGCGGGTCTAATAGGAAACCGGTTTCCGTTTCGGTCCTAGTGCTCAACCAAATCCATTTAATGGAGCGTAACATTGTTTTTGGACAGAAAAAAGTGCAGGGGACCAAAACTGCCTTTTGAAAAAGTGGGGGGGACATGTCCCACCCGTCCCCCCCCAAAATTACGTCCCAGCCCATCAGCCACTAGTGTGCCAGTTCTAGTTAGGTCAGGTATGTTTGTTTGTGCAGCCAGTTGCTTTGTTCACATCCTAGTCTGAGTTCACTTCTGTTATTCTGCCCTCTTTTATGAGATCAGCATTTATTTTTGTTAAATGAAGTGTTTGGGTTAATAATAAAAACCCTACTTTTCTAATTTATTCCCGACTCCTCACGCTTCACCACTCGGTCCCTGACAAACAACAGCACTTTGTATAAACCTCTCCGCCCACCTTGCATCCTGGGATATTGAGTGCTCTGGTCACGAGCTTCTTGTACTCAGAGGAAGACTCGTGCTGAGCCATGGCGTCCTTCAGACTTCTCATGGTCTCAATGTCTGACTGGTCCATGAACTGCCACATCTTCAGCACCTTACGGGACCTGTGAACCCAGAAAAACATCTTGGTTTAAACAAAAAAACAGTAGGAATTTGGATGACCATGTCTGAGATTTCTATTTCTACAAACCTCAGTCCAGCCAGGAACTCCATCACACTGTTGTAGTTTCCCATGTTCCAACAGCATTTGGCAACATGAACGAGATATGAGAAAACCTCTCTCTTCTCCTCCATCGACCCTGCTGTCAGGATCAGCCATGTAACCCAGGAGCTCACCTGCGTGTTCAGACATGCGCCTGTGATATTAGTACTTTAGTTTTTAATCTGAGACATGAAAACTGTGATTTTTCTAATTCTAAAGAGGAATGAAAAAGAGCTAATGCAAAAAAAAGTTGTAGTTTTTCTTTTTAGTTTTTTAAATAATCAGTAAAATTAAAGAGCATGCACATTCATGTAATAGGTCTGAGAAGGAAGCAACAGCGTACTTTTCATCTCTCCACCATACAGAACTGTTTAATACTAATTAAGGGTTCGATTTCTATTGTGCTTTTCTAGGCACTCAAAGCGCTTTTCATTATTCACACACTGCTGGTGATGGTAAGCTACTGTGTAGTCACCGCCACCCTGCGGCGCCATCGGCCCCTCTGACCAACACCAACTCAGGCAAGTCAGGCGAAGTGTTTTGCCCAAGGACACAACAGCAGAAGACCCTGGTGGGAGCTGGGATCGATCCCACGATCCTCCAATCACTGCTGCCTCAACCAATCAAACCAACTTATTGACTATAACTGTTAGTGGCTGATCAAAGAAACTCATTTAAGATGTTCTAATTTAGGAATTCTTATAAGTTCCAGGCATTCTGGAAACGGTGCCACTCAAAATTTGTTGGCAAAACCTTCTAAGCCTTTGAAATAACCGAGATCATGTGGTGACATCATGTAATATTATCTCTGCTGTTACGCGGTGCATTACAACCGAGCTATCAGGACATAAGATCCAAAGCCACGTTGAGTTTAGAAGAAACTTTGTGTGGTCTCAATGGTGGCCCACGAATTCTTGTGTTTAGACCTGTGCCTAAAGTGGTAGTCCAAACTCAAGACCATGGCTGGCGCTCTCTCTCTCACTCTCACTCACACACACACACACACACACACACACACACTCAAAGAAAGGACGGACCAAGATCAGATGACTATCAGCTGCACTCCATCTCTGACTAACCCCAAGCATGCACAAAACAGCCACAGAACCAAATCAGTATCAGGGTCATCCTCCTCTCACATTCTTTGTAATGGACACACATTTACACACACACACCAACCTGGCAGTAAAGCTTCCTGATCTCCTGTCTCTGAGTATTAGAGCCTCATTAACGTAGACACACACTCAGAAACACACTTGCACTGAATCTCCCTGACCCCGCTGCAGGTGGGGAAAAACATCGCCCTGGCCCAGAGATCTATTACAGGCTTATGTAAGGATCTGTGAAGCCAACCGAAGTCTGAATTCACAGGGACTAAATAACACACACACACACACACACACACACACACACACACACACACACACACACACACACACACACACACACACACACACACACACACACACACACACACACACAAGATCATGAAACAAAGAATACAGCTTCAAATGTACTGTTTGAAGCCTTTTCCACTTTGCTTTTTCCTCCACTTGATGCAAGTTTGAGCAGAAATGAATTCTACCAAACCCCCAGCACATAAACACTTTTCTATCAAAGAACAGCAATGCTCCCAAAAGGAATGGATGAACAGGATCTTTGAAAGTCTCACCAAGTAAGTGAACTTCATCAGGTAAATAACTTATCTTAAAAGCAAATCCCAAAAGAAAACGGGCTGCAAGGTTCGCTTTTTGAACAGAACCAGCTGAGATGATAAAGTGGGACTGTGGGGGACAAACACCTTTAGGAGCAGCTTGTTAAAAAAAAACTTGAGCATTTATCACTATAAAAAGCAAGTTATGTCCAAGATAAATGGAAGTCTGCGGCAGGGCGGAGACTACACCCTTCATGCCGCCATCACGTAATCTTTTGTGAAAAGGACACGATTGTGCCACCTTACCGCCACGGTCTGACCACTTATAGACGACCTAAGGCTTCCTGATGCCGCATCAGCGTTGCGGCAAATTGGCAGAAATGTTTAGTAAAAATGGCTAAATAGAGACCTTCATCCATTTGGCCAATTGGGCAGGTCCTTATAGGTTAGATGCCCGACCCCTAGGCTAACAGCACTTCATTTGGATGGCTAGCAAACACCTGAGTTAGATTCGTCCTGCTACTTCTGCCAGTTCTGCTTTACAGAGATCCACTAATTGCCTTTTCTTGTTCATTTTCTTTTTCCCTTTCCTCACATCTTTTGATAACAATTTTTGCTTTTCCCATTTTTTTTATTTAAAAAAATATTTCTTTGCTTTTGATTTTTTGTTCTAGATTTAGATTTAGGAGGATTGCGCGTTCTCCGTTCTGGCTCCAACGCTCTGGAACGAGTTACCTATGAGGTTTTTAAGTCTCACTTTTTTATGTGATGCCATTTCAGCACAAGGGATCGCAAAATAGCCTTGCTCTTTTGTTGTTTTTTAGCTTGTTTAACGTGTTTTTATGTTAGTTTCCTGTTTTTATTCAACATTCCTTTAATGTTTTTATGAATGTTTTTAGTTACACAGCATTATATTTGTTTCTATTGTGAGTTTTATGGTTGTGTTCAGCACCTTGGTCGGCTGATAAGGTCGTAGAAGGTGCTTTATAAATAAACAAACAAAACGAGTTGTGTTTGTTTATTTATTGCAAGTCAAATATTAACCTCCGTTATCGCGTATCTCAGCTTTTCCAAATATTATGCAGCCCTACTCCTGACATTATTTTGTCCATTTGTGAAAACATCTTCAACCACATTATTCTGATGATAATGCAGATAAATTGCAACTGCACCACAGTGGTGTATGAAGGGCTCTGCATCTCATGCTGACAAAAACACTCCAAAAAGACACTTCTTTTTAAATCTCCACATTCAAAGATGTTTTCCTTCATCAAAACTCTATTTGTGTGTTGACAGGTGGTGGAAACGGAAAAAGATAAGGCTCTACAGTAGCGTTGATTACTACAATGTTGATGGTTTGTTCTAGAATCTCCGCCACATGACTAACTGTGGCCCTACAGACTCTTATCTGCTAGCTGCTGAGCCGGGTCTACATGCCATGCATGAAAACCTTCCATCAGTCACTCCTAGAGGTATGATGTAATGCACCGCCATGTCAGCAACCAGGGGGTTAGAATTACCATCACCATCTAAACCATTCTGACTGTCTGCAAAGTGGCTTTCTGAGCTGCCTCAGATCAAGGGTGAGGATCAAGCTGACAACTCGACTGATATTCCAGAGAGATGGAAGTGTGTGTGTGTGTGTGTGTGTGTGTGTGTGTGTGTGTGTGTGTGTGTGTGTGATGTTTTCTAAGACAAATATGAGAAGAAACAGTTTACAGTGAGCAGCAAAGAGATAAGGCAGTTAGGGAAACTAACAAAACTGTGTCCTTATCAATAGCAGCTTGACACACGCATGCACGCACGCACACGCACACACACACACGCACACACACGCACACACACACACACACACACACACATACACACACACACACACACACACACACACACACACACACTCACACACACACACACACACACACACACACACTGAATGAACTGGAGCTGGGTACAAAGCTGATCCCCTTTGATGTTTGAGTATGTATCCATCTGTCTGTCTGTCCTTGTGTCTGTCTCCAACTGTTATTAGTTGAACTGAGGATCAGTTTCTGCTTCATGCAAAAATTACATAACCAACATTGACAGGAAGCCATCAGAGTCAGCACAGAACATACTGGTTCCGTTGGAGATAAACCCTCGAGACCAACACAAAGAGGAACCCAACATTCCAAGAATAGTAGGGTACAACAACGGTAGACTGCTCTAATAAAACCTGAGTGATTTGATATTGTCTTAATTACGGTCATCTTGTATTTTGGGTCAGGATTGTGTTCATTTTGATGCATTTCTAGATTTATTCACCTGAAAAAATTTGTCAGAAAAAGTGACGAAATACAAAGATCTGGAATTAATCTTCCATTTTAAAGGTCTTTAATCTCAAAAAGAAAGTAAAGTATCTTAGTCTTAAATTATAGCAATCTAAATGCTGATAAATTAGATAGGTTTGATACTAAAAACGAAAATCAACAATCTAAATACTATAATATGGAACACACCCTCACCACTGTTGTATTGAGTGACGGGGTGCCAAGTTTCTAATATAAAGCCACTTCAGACCTCCATCACTGTTGTCATTTGAGTCCTGTTTCATTGTGCCCTTATAAGGCTGCAATACACATTTGGAAAAGTGTTCTGCAACTCTCCTCTCACTGACTTAAATGAAACCCAGCTGATGTTAAAGGCATGCAACCTAAAGATGACTTCATCCTTCCCTATCAATCTCTCCCCTTCAAAGACTTTCTTCTTCTCTGCGGTGAATTGCTCTAATTGTTTATTCAGAAATGTACTCACCAAAGAAAGACACACAGCCCAGAAGTATAACTTTAGCCAATGTTACGCCACTGTGAGTGTGTTTGTGAGTACACACATCAGCCTGGTTTTCTGGAGGAAAACTGAATGACTGGTCTGTTTTTCCTCTTAAACCTTCAGAGTAATGTTAAACCCAAGACCCACCTTTTTCCCAGTCTGATCGCTGAAGACCACTCAACAAATTTAAGTGGTTCTTTTGATCAACATTAACTGTGGTTCAACACGCTCTGTTACCAATAAAAAGATCAACAGAAGGAATGCAGTTCAGCGTGTTCAGGAGTCCCACATTAAGCTCTTCAACATTGTTCCCTGATTACTATCACCAAGTCCTCACTAATCTTATCCCAAATGACATCATGTTGTAAAACGTGAGCTTTAACGATACAAACTAACTCTACAAACTTGTTTCAGTGACTTCACATGGCCAATAAAATCTGGTTTATTGACTTTAAAACGATGCTTAAAAAAAAGGTCAGGTATGTACACTAACAGGATTTAAAAATAGCCAATTCATGTACGACTGTGACCATGAGAAGCAGGTGTTTGTTTAGCTAAATAAAGAGCTATCAACACAGTGTCCAGTATGAAAGATGGCCTCCTTACCTCATTGAACCGTGCCACCAGGTCTTCAACAGCATTACTTCGCTGAACATTCTGAGTGGGCATGGCGGGCACAGACAGTGAGGCCTTGACCTTTGGGTGTCGTCTTGTTTGACACTCAGGACTGCCCAGGTCTCTAGTGAGGAAGTAGAGGTAATCCAAAGGGAAGACCTGCAGGAAGACATGTGATCTTGTTAAAACGCTCAGGGATGTAAAGCCATTATTGGCATTAAATTAGAATGTTAAATGATTGGTTAAGTATTCAACAAGGAACTCCTATAATTTTATTTAAAAACAAAAATTTGGTTCACAATTTGATTTTGTTAAGTATTTTCTCTTTTCACATAGGGTCAAAATTGCTACTATGGTCTTAAATATGTCAGACATTGACCTAACTGGTTGATGAAGATTGAACATAACTTATTGGACTGGTTAGGGTTAGGATGTTCAGGAACAACAACAAACCACCAAAGCTCAAGACTACCATGCAATTGAACCTGCTGGAGCACCAGTGTCTCTGTTCCCAGTGAAGAAGAAGAAGAACAAGATGCAACCTTTTGCTCTAAAAGTGATACTCATCTGAAGTTTGCCCCTGCCCGCAAGGATGAGTCAAATGTCTTCCAAGACAAAGACAGACTATCTAAGCACAATGTAGAAGTATGTTAATATGAGGCTCAACAACAGTCAAGCATGGTGGTGGTAGAATCATGCTGTAGAACTAGTGTATTAAGAAGAGATGATGGAATAAGAAAGAACTACCTTCGCATTCGTCACAATACCCTGAAACAAACAAACCAACCAATGCCGGGACCACACTGTGCGTTTATTCGCCATCACACTGGATTGCTCATGTCACACTGTGAGAACTCCAGAAAGGCGGCACATTGTACGGCGCAAGATTTCAGTGAGCGAGACCGCACAACATCTCGCTCAGCAGGACACGTTAAGTCAAGAGCGCACCCCCCAAAATGCACACGTCACTAAAAGCAGACCGCTGACCAAAACTACGACTAAAGGAGAAAAAACGCTGCCTTTAACACTTCTTTTTTGTGTCAGCTCATGATCTAGCTCATCTTCCTCAAAGAGGAAGGATGGTTTTAAAAACCCTCGCTTTTGCCTCAGACTCCGGCTACGAGTCTCCTTTTCTTGTCTTCTAGCTAAACAGCTGAGCTGTCTGCTGGACATTCATCCTTCTGATTATCCTTTATTCATAAAAAACCACTAAAGTACAGAGAGGTAACAACCGATCTGTCACAGATCGCTGTTTACTCCGCTCTGTGACAGCGCATCATCGCTACTTTTTTACACTCACTGTCACTCGCACAGCTTTCTCTATCCCTCAGCAGCAAAATGCTTCTGAACCCATTCTTATCGGCTGAATAAGTGAGATTTCCACCAACAGCAAAGGGATCTCATGAGTGAGCACATCTCCTCTTCCACTCTCACAGATGACCGAATCACAGTTTTCACAAATTATGTCACAGAATCATGTTCTTTGATTTTTCCAGTGCCTTTAACCCCCTCCAGCCAGGGATTCTGAAAACTAAACTGACTGGGCTGGACCCTAACCTGGCAGAGTGGATCCTGAGCTATCTCACAAGCCGGCCCCAGTTTGTGAGAGCCCGGGACTGTGTGTGTCTGACCCGCTGACCTGCAGTGTGGGTGTGCCCCAGGGGACTGTCTAGGCTCCATTTCTCTTCACCCTCTACACCTCTGACTTCAGACACAACAAGGACAGCTGTGTCCTGCAGAAGTTCTCTGACGACTCTGCGATTGTCGGACTGATCATCGAGGACGACGATGTGGAGTACAAAGGACTGACGCTGGTGTCAGCAAAACCACCTCCTGATCAATGGAGGGAAAACAAAAGAGATGGTGGTGGATCCTCGCAGACGCCTACCTGCTGTCCCCTCACCAGTGAACATCCAGGGAATGGACATCGAGAGAGTGGACTCCTATAAATACCTAGGTGTTCACCTGAACAACAAACAGGACTGGTCTCACAACACAGACGCACTGTACAGGAAGGGCCAGAGCAGGCTCCACCTCCTGAGGAGACTACAGTCTTTTGGGGTGACGGGGACACTCCTGAAGACCTTCTACGACTCTGTGGTGGCATCAGCAATCCTGTATGGTGTGGTGTGTTGGAGCAGCAGCATCACAGAGAGGGAGAGAAAGAAGCTGGACAGGCTGATAAAGTAATCCAGCTCTGTCCTGGGCTGTCCTCTGGACTCAGTACGAGAAGTGGGGGACAAGAAGTTGCTGGCAAAACTCAAATCCATCCTGGATCATGAGTCACACCCCCTGCAGGATGCCTTGTCTGCTCTGGAGAGCTGCTTCAGTAACAGACTGATCCAACCTCGCTGTACGAAGGAGAGATACCGCAGATCTTTCCTCCCTGCTGCTGTTACTCTATAATAGTCACTGCTTATAGAAGCCACACATCTGTAACCTTCCACTGCAAATATCATCTTTTCAAAACATGTGCAATATAACTACTACTCTCATTACAATGTGCAATAATTATCTGAACTTATAATTACTATGTACTCTTGTGCAATATCCTGTGTGCTACTGCTGTTATCCTGCTGTACCTGAGCCATTGCAATATTGCAATTTCCCCACTGAGGGACTAATAACGGTATTCTTATTCTTATCTGATGGTCTTCAAAAGGTAGTTTAATTAATTTTAAGTATTACTCAGGTTTTACTTGGACTATTTACAAAATTTTAAACTGGTGTGAAGTTTATATTCAGCATTTTAAACACAAGTAAAACCTAAACTCAGAGAGGCGGAGTCTTGCTGCTGTGGCATCCCAAACATGTATTTTCATTGGCTGATTGCAGATGAGAGTTGTGGGTTTTCAAGCACTTCTTGTAGACTGTTGGAGGTTGAGTTCGGTCACACTGGACGACCACAGAGTTCCTTATCACCCTCACGTTCACCATTTTTTGATATGATTGTGCTCACGACGAGGGATTTGGCTAAGACGGTCGTAAACCACACAGTGTGGTCCAGGTTTTAGAAACAAGCGAGTTTTCCAACAGGACAATGATCCCAAGAACACGGCAAGCTTCTGGCATGGCCAGCTTACAGATTTAACCAAAACGATTGGTCAAATGCCAGAAGCTAGTTGATTTCTGAAAAAGCTTGTGACTCCTTGCTGTGGGACATTTTGGCACATATTAGTGTGTGTGTGTGTGTGTGTGTGTGTGTGTGTGTGTGTGTGTGTGTGTGTGTGTGTGTTGGGGGGGGGGGGCTGTATTTATAATTGTGGCCTTAGGTGGAAAAGAAAAAAAAATCCATACTCTTATTTTAAGGAAAATCATTGAAGTTGCATGTTTTATAATCTTTCCACGTTGGAATCAATCATAAAAGTCCCTAAATAAATAACATTCATGCCTGTGATTAGTAGACTACTTTGGTTATCAATCTCATTCCTTCCAACTCCTCCAAAAAATGCCTCCAATCTCTTTCTGCTGCAGCTTATTTACACTCTATTTTTAAACTCGTACAAATATTTCTTTATGAATGGGGAACACTCGCAAGTGACAAAAATAGTACTGTTTATATTACATAAGATTAGTACCTGCTGGTAAAGCTGCTGCTCTTGCTCAGTCAGGATACAGGCAATCTCCTCTGGGAACTGGATAAGGTGGTGCAGCTCTGCCAGCTCCTTACTGATCCCACTGACGCTGGGAGGAAGGGAGCTGCTGCTGGTCATACTGTTGGCCAGCTGACGTTCTGTTGGAGCACATAAAGACAGCAGATCATTGGTTTTATACTGTTTCTTCAGGCCCTAGCAAGATCTAGCTAACACCTTGAGGAGTTAAAGACAGATGGGAAAGAAGAGGGAAAGGACATGAAGCAGGAATGAAAAGAAGACACCACTGATGCATGTGTCAATAACGTTACAGAACATAAAGCAGAAATGAGAAAAATAAGCTATAATCGAGACATTATGATCCTTTAAGCGTTAAAATTTAAAGCCTTGATGAAATATAAGGGGTTGTTTTCAGAGAGGGTTGAATAATTTCCACCCACAGAGGAAAGTCCACTTCACCCTCTAGAAGTAAACAGCACTGATCACCTGCAAGTTCCTGTGTTTGGATTTCAGTTAGGCCCATTAGTCTGTCTGTTTACACACACACATACACACAAATGCAAACTCCTCCCAATCTCTGCTAACAGAGAAATAAAGGGTAATTTCTACATTGTTGCTCTGAGGAAATTCTGTACATTGTTGGGATGAAAGCCAAATAAACAGACCGTCTTTATGAAGCAGAAGTTTTTCCAGGAATAATATAACTGCTGAGGTAAAAGCATTAGTTATTATAAATCACTAATGCTTTTATGAGTTAAGTTTAGAGCTTTTCATGGTCTAGTCACTTTCAACACTTAGATGACCTTAAGTTATAAGTTACACAATCTATGAAAAGCACCCTAAGCAAGAAGATGTGCATCAGACAAAGTAAACACCAGGTCCTGGTCACCGTCAGCTGTCACATATATTCTGCACCGTCCCGCAATAGCAAAGCCAGAAATCTGCGTGGATGCGTATGCAGACTCCCACTCAAAGGTCGTCACCAGTAACCCCAGAGATGTGCAACAGGTTGGTATGGTAATGGCAGTGACTGCTCAGCAGGGGCAAAACTTGCTTGTTTACACAGTTTGATTTGTGGATTCGGCCTCACAGCTTCTGTGATAAGCTCTCAGTATGACCCGAGCGTGTGCATGCACTTGTCTTTATTTGTTTAAGTGCACGCATTTTAACCTTCACTGTAACGTGTGGACATTTCCACATTGTGGAGATATTTTGCTGGTCCACACAAAGCTAAGCACCCCAAAACTTGGTTCTAGAGGTAAGGTACAAATTAAATGGTAAACTTAAGTTAGTTTAGGTTCGGAATAGAAACCTACTGGTTATGGTTTGTGTATGGGTTAGGCATAGTGGAGTCACTAAAATGAATGGAAGGCAATGGAGGTCCACACAAACATATAAATACAAGCATTTGTGTGTGTGTGTGTGTGTGTGTGTGTGTGTGTGTGTGTGTGTGTGTGTGTGTGTGTGTGTGTGTGTGTGTGTGTGTGTGTGTGTGTGTGTGTGTGTGTGTGGACGCATCAGTGGGAAACCAAATAAATTCAAAAGTTTCAGTCAAAACTGATGGAGAACAGAATCCACCTGACTGAAAAAAATTAATGTTTTGTCGGATAAGCTTGATCAGCTGCAGTGATAACGACTAAGGTTGTAGATGTTAATAGAGGACCATTAAAATCCATCCAGTGGTTCATGAGATATTTTCCCAACAGACAAACACATTCACACAGATGTAGGCAAAAACATTACCATCCATTAGGGATGGACAATATATCAGCGTCAATATCGCCATCGGCTGATGTTAGTCATTTTTTAACATATTGGTATCGGTTCAATAAATAAACCGGGCCAATATTAACAACTGATATTTAATCCATCTTGTCTCCATTTGTTTGCCTGTTTGTTTGTTTTCCTGTGAAGGGGGTGATGTGTAATTGTTTAGTCGTGTGAACAGTGACAGTAACCATCTGAGAAGCGTAAATATGTGTGTTGTGTGTACATAATAATGTAAATTTGGCTTTAATAATTTTCATTTTATACAAAATTGCTGATTTTAGAAGCATTAATGTCAGTATATCGGTATCAGCAAATATCGGCTATCGGCCATAACAGTGATCTTAATATTGGATATCGGTATCGGCCCAAATATTTCATATCGGTGCATCACTACCAGTGTTTCCCCTAGGAATTTTTCCAGCTGTGGTGGTGGTGGTGGTTTTTACGACACGTCTCACCTTTATGTTAATATTGTTTAATTTGATGCACTCCACTTTGATCAGCACCAATCCAGCAACTTCTGCATTTTAATAACTAGTATTAAAGGTGAATACACCAATATTTGCACAAGAATAATTTTTGTTTTAAACTCTCAGTGACACACTTTGCAGGGGGATTTGGCATTTAATTTTTCTTGGCATTTGGAAAAACATCTCCTTTTGCCCCCCTTCATTTGACTTTCTGCCCCCTTTATTTTGGTCCAAGATCATTACTGGGCTGGCCCTGTTAAAAACCTTCTACACCCCTGCTTAGTAGACTTAATGAAGTATTTTTAAGCTAGTATAAAAATGACTGAAACACAAATTTACATATTTGGCATTATTGACCAATATCTTTGATTTAATTTATTTGTTAAGAACATCAAGATGCATTACAGTGAACATTATAATAAAGTAAAATTTTCTAGTGCAGAGAGGAGAGACAACCCATAGAAGCACTGATTTGATCTCATTTCAGATAAAAATAGAACAGATCAGATGCACCTAATAAATAAAATTACTAACAAACTCAGGAATCTGTTTCTTTGCTTCATTGTTGTGGTGCTGAAAATATCACTAATGCAGATCAAAGGAGATACACAGATGAATGCACCTCTTATTTATTATTTGGAAATTAGTGAGTGTGGTTTACATCAATGCATTATTTTAAATCTGAAATTGATATGGATTGATCAGAAGTTGCTATGTGTATTGTTTATTTGAAAACTATTTACAGAGCAGCCTCAGAATTGAGATTAAATAGTTTTGATCACAATAGTAAAGGAACTATTCCAGAACAAGTTTTTCAATAAAATCAGAACATTATTATTTAAGTGCATGAATTAATACATCTAAACTCATGCAGTAGGAACTAGGAAATATGAAATAATAGAACTATTTTGTTTTAATTTGATTAAACTGATTTTTTCCTAACGTTGTTGGCATTTTTCCCACACACAGTTAAACAAAACAATGCTGACTGAGGTGTGTGTGTGTGTGTGTGAGAGAGAGAGAGAGAGAGAGAGAGAGAGAGAGAGAGAGAGAGAGAGTTAAAATAATAATTAAAAAAAAAAAAACAGACCGGAGCGGAGGCAGTGACCGACGCAGCATGAGCCGTTTTCAGCTCTGCCTTGTCAAATGCACCACGTACGTTAAGAAAAAAGTAACTTTAAATATTCAGCCGAAAAAGAGGTGAGCTGAAGAAAACCTAGGGAGTACTGAAGAAACGTGAGCAACAGTGAAGCAAGCACAGTGAGATCCGTTACTGTCTGTGTGTGTGCGTGCGTGGATGCATGGGCCGGACTGAGCTCCCGGCTGCAGTTTTGTGTGTAGGGAGGGACAGGTGCTCTATGCGATTGGCCAATCACAGAGCATGAAGACAGTGGATTTTCCTTCAGCACGATTACAGATTTTTACGAGTTTTACTCATTTCATGCTCGTATTCATCAAAAATGCTTTATCCGTACCGGATACTCGTCTGAAACGAGTATCCGGCTCATCCCTAGCTGTAACCACCCTGCCCTGCCTCCTCTTCCTTGCTGCCTGCCGGCTGTGGTCACAAGCAACAACAGAGTAGTTCCCGCTGCTTCTTCGGGAAATGGCGCAAAAAAAATAAAAAATAAATAAAAAATCTATAAAACTTGGGATCTTGTAGGCGTGGCGCTGGGATTTCAGCCGTGGCGGGCCGCCACGGCTACGCCACTGACTACCATGCACCTTTGAATTTAGGGTTTTGGAGGCAGGTGATAAAAGTAAAAGGATGGAGAAATGAACTTACACTTTTTTTTCCACATTTGTAACTTTTCCTTTGATTATCAGACTGAACTGAAGAAAATGTGTAAAACTTTTAAACATTTTCTTTTCCATAAATTTAAACATTTAGAGATTTAGGTCCAATCTGATCTGACTGAGTTTATACCAAAAAAACCATTACATTTAACCAAAACCCTTTTGAGGCAAGATACAGATATCATAGACAGACATGAATATTAATAGCAAGACTTCTGGTTTTAAATTATCTCTATTAAAGGGTCAGTAGTATTACGCCTGGTCTCAAGAATTATTACTTGCTCCTCTTGTGAAGTGGAAATTGAGTTGCTCTCAGATTATTCACATGATTTTCATGGGGGTGATGAAACAGCTCTGCTCATTCATGTTTTCACCCTCTGAACAGAAATCAGGCAGACACTAACAAAGAGGTCTTAAAATAATGCTAAATAAATAAAACACACTAGTTCAGTCATACATATGGTGGTGTTAGAATAAAGCAACAGCAGTTACTGTTTAGTTTTATCTGCAGTGAGACCTCTGATAAACACTACTTATTCACATTGAACATGTATGCGACCCCCCCCCCAAAAAAAAATTAAAACAATGAGATGGTTAGAATATGAACCTGAAATAATCACCCTGGTGTTGCTGTGGTTTCCATGCATGGGGCATGGGTTTACTCATCTATAATGCATGTGTGTGTGTGTGTGTGTGTGTGTGTGTGTGTGTGTGTGTGTGTGTGTGTGTGTGTGTGTGTGTGTGTGTGTGTGTGTGTGTGAGTGTGTGTGTGTGCAGGCGTGTACATTTTAATAACAGCGCCTCTAAATATGGCTGTGAATGGAACAAACTGGCTGAAAATCCTTTTTAACAATTTTCATGATATTTACTCTAAAACATTGAGAATATATATTACATATATATAATGTGTACAGTACAGGCCAAAAGTTTGGACACACTTTCTCACTCAGTGTTTTCTTTATTTTCATGTCCATGACCATTTACAAAGGAGCCAACAAGTGCTAAACACCTCTGGGACTTTCTTCAAGATTGTTGGAAAACCATTTCAGGTGACTACCTCTTGAAGCTCACAAGAGAATACCAAGAGTGTGCAAAACAGTAAT